GCACAGTTCTGCGCCCTTTGTCGCCCTGTGCAGGCACACAATATATTTTTACCACACTGATGACACGAAATAATCGCCGGAAACCACCGGAGAGGCTCGAACGGACAGTGCACGACGTGCGGGAGAAAGAGAGTGAACAGGCGCCGGATGTCAGTGCATCGCCGCGTGGATTATGTCCCGATTAGGAACGCGCGTCTTCGTTCGCCTCCACCACCTTCCACGAGTGACTGCACGACCACGGCGTACCGCTCGACAACGTTGTCTCTTTTTCATCCCGGAACGTCAGATTAGACCTGTCCAATGTACCGTACTACGCATGCAGTCTGCGTGAACACCCGCGCGGCCGTCAGTACAACATCGGGAGCCGGCCAGGACGCGGGCCCGCATACAGCTGCCCACCCTTGAACAGCTCGTGCGGCTCCTCTGGTCCCTCCGCCATCGCCTCCGCCTCGTCCGACACCACCTTCGACGACTTCGGCCCATCTCGCACGTGTCGAGGCGGGTAGATCGCCGGGTCGACCTTGCTGCTGCCCCGCCGCCTCCCGATGTCGTCACGGCCGAGGTTCAGCCTCAGGCCGTTGTGCAGGGGAGTCGGTGCCGCGAGCAGAGGGTTCCGCTTCGCGGCGTCGTACTCCTCCTGCGTGATCGGCTCGAACGTGAGCTCCCCGCTCCGCAGCGCCCGGACGAGCATCCAGATCCGCGCCAGCCCGGTCACCTTGCTCAGGTCGCCGAAGACGATGCCCTCTGGCCACCCGACGAGTTTGAGGCGGTGGCGGAGGTATATGTCTTTGCAGAGTCCACTGACCGTCCAGCGCATCGACACTCCGGGATCCAGGTGGCCGACGCGCACCACTGGTATGTGGGTAAGCACGAGCACCGCGCGCCTCGAGAATGGACGATGTGCTTACCTAGTTTGTGCTTCAGCCCTTGACGCACCTCGCTGCGCAGCTGCATCTCCTTGCGCGCGTACCGGCCGCTGGCAGTATCCCCAAGTTTCCGGAAAGCGGGCTTCCGGCGGCGAGTCATACCGCTTTGCTAGAAGAACGCAGGTGAGCAGCGCATCACTCGCGACTACAACGGCCTGCTCACGATAGGAAGTGGTGTTTCGAAAGAAGCGGACGGCTGCGAACGATCCCGAGCGGAGTAAAGGCACGGGAAAATGCAAGATGTCTGCAAGGGCACGCCGCGTGCGGGGTTAGAGGAGCGATTGTGAGTGAAGGCCAACCTGACGAGTAGCGATGCTGCTCACATGCTCAATACGAAAAATTCCGCATACACAGAGGGGCGTGCGCGCAGGCAGAACACAGGAAGAGAGTGCGGCGGCTAGGAAACGAGTGGGCACACGTACGAGGATAGGGAACGAAGGCAGAAGCAAGAGCAGAAGATGGTGAGCAAGTCTGAACGACTATGAGGGTGTCTGCGCTTCATCTAGTAATTGACCGCATTTCCAGGCCCTAGGACGCGCCCATGGTCATAGGCAGTCAGCGGAGCCGTTACGAGAGTGGCAGGGCTGCTGTAGACGAAAGTGGGCGCTCTTCTCGATCCGTCCAATTCGCACTGACCGGCTTCGCTTTCCCGGCAGTGATTCACTCGCTTATGCGCGCCCTGGGCGATATTTGCGGCCACATCGCTACGTTCCACGCGATGTCGCTGGTACGGCAACACAAACGATACCCACGGCGCAACATATTGATGGCCGCCGCTCACACTGTCGTCGCGCCGCGACACTCTCCCCGCGCCGCGACACTCTCCCGCCCTGTTTCAAGTCCTGGGCCTTCTTTGCCGTGCCATTGGCGAGTCCTTATTCCGTGGACGCCCAACAGAGCCGCGTTGCGTCGGAGTCTGTGTCGTCCCGCCAGCTGCTCGCACACGCGGCGCAGATGATGGAGTTCGCGGTACGTCTGCTTCATTGACAAACTTCGGTACACGGTCGTCACGGCATGCCCAAGGGCCCTCACTATGGCCCAATCGACTCAGATAGTTCATACGCCTTGGGGCATATTTCCGATGGCGAACGCCGTCCATGTACCAAGTGTCCGGTGCCTGGCCACGCCGCACGAGCCTGCCTAACCGGCTGCATCTGGACGCGCGGAATATGCGGACCCCGCTCCCCTCGGATGCCGCACACTGCAGGGAGCACAGCGGGTTGCCGCATCGCCCAAACCATCAAGTTGTACCGAGCGCTGTTGCTATCGGGGCGGCGCTGGTGCATTCGAGTTCTGATAAACGCCGGCAATGACTCCGAGCTCGCACTGGCAATCTGTGTGGTGGACATATTCGACTCGGTCGTCACCTCTCACCAGTGTCCCGCAGCTCTGTACCTCCTTTAGCACGTTCTGCGACCTTGTACCACCCGCAAAATGTACGTCTTCTTCTCCGAGTCCAGCATTACACCTCGGTCTGACGCTGATGCGAAAGTCGTAGCAGTACATGCCGTCATGTGGGCTTCGTAAGGAGGCCGCTTCGGTTGCGCTCGAGGCCCCGTGCCGTCAACATATCCATGGAATACATAGACCTGGTGCCGAGAAGCTCCGTGCCTGCCACAGCCACGCTGAATACGTTGCTCGCCTGTCCCGTGGTTAGGTAGTTAACAAGTCAATCATGCAGGGTCGTGGCCCGAAGCGGCTCCCGGCACGAGTGTCCACGTGCGCACATCGTAAGTAGCCTCGCATGGGCTTGTGAGACATTCTGACGCAGTAGTATAGCAACCTCCCGAAGCGACGACTCCGGACGAAGAGACCGAGTCTGCGGGGCTCATGCCAGAACTCCGTATCGCCGAGCCCCATTCGTTCTGTATCTGGGGATCGAGAAACCGCTCTCCACCTGTTTCCGAACACGAGGCAGCGAAGCTGGAAGCAACTTGCATACCTCCCGATCTTACACGGTCCACGGGACAGCAGGAAGAGGGTGGCACGAAGCCGGGGCATCTATCGAGATTTGATGTGCTTTCATCATTGTGTACGTCTTGTTTACCTGCACACGGTCTTGGATCGGCCCAGCTCAATCAGGCCGATCTTGAAATTCCAAGAACATGCTTGCCGCGATGTTTTCGCTCCGTGGAGTGCATGCCTGGTGCGTCATTCCGATCTGTGTTGGTTGGACACTTACAACATGCCTTCTAGCGATGCACGCAACGATTCCCGCCGCCGGCCATCCCTGCTCTTCGGTTACGCCCCACAGGTAGCCTGTGTACGGACGATCGCGCCTGAATCGCGGTAACAGAGGGATCCCGAGCTTACGAGATCAGTCGCATGTACGGCCGTTGCCCAGATATGCAAGCATCGGGTCGACATCAGGATCACCGAGAGGCGGCTTCTGGGTGCAAAGCGGTGCGCTACCGATGAGGTGAGCACTGTACTCGATCATAGAAGGCCTCCGCCTGTATACCATTGGGCTGGCCAGAATATTGACGGCGTGCATGTTAGCCCCGCGGAACGGCGAGATGCCGCGCATCATGCAGCGCAATTCTAACACTCGACACACAGTAGCAACCCTGCGGCAGGTCACCGTGCCACAAATGCACTGCCTATTCGCACGGAGCCACGGCAAAACAGTCTTCTGCTCCGGCAAGCGGGAAGGGCTCGCTCCATTCGTTCGCGAGTCGGTACTCCCTCCCGGTGCGCTGGTATCCCTTGTCTTTTGACACGTCCAGGCCCTGATTGCCCTGTCCATCAGCCCGCCTCCACGTCGTAAGCCCTTGGCCCCAATATCGCTAGCCAGGCGAAACGAGCGCACATACGGTGCCCCAGAGACAGGAAACATGCGCACGTCCCTCGGACGACCCGCAGGCGAGCCGACCCCGTTCGAAATCATCTCCTGAGCGATGTTTGTCGGCACAGCAAAGCGAGCTCGCTGTGGTCTTTCCGGTCATGCGGGGGACGCCCCCGTTTGCTTCTGCTGACACTCTACAGCACTTCCAGACCCAAAGTCGTTGTGAAGGCTTCTGTTTCGGCCCGGGTGTGGTTCGGGTCTCGACGAGGTACGCGCCCGCGATGCGGTCCCTCCCGTCTTGGCCCCCTCGGTGTATCCACCCTCACACCCGCGATGTATTGGGACATGGTGCCGAGCGGGCGGGTGTACTCCGGGTCGTCGAGCGTCGAATCTAGTATACTCAATACGTGTACGTTCCCAATACACATTGTAGCCACTCGCCCCCGCCCTGGAGTCGTATGCGAGAGGAGTTCGCGTCGATTTTTCTGCGCCGGTGTTGAGTGGTAAATCGTCAGTATACTCTCACACGGAAGTCGAATGTCGTGCGGAGCTGCGCAACGACGCTCGCCTTGCGCTTGGGTGTCCTCGGAACACCGTAATTCGATTCCAAAAGGCCTTGTGCCACTGTGTTTCACACAAATATATTGTAACGGACGACGACGGCGATATGTACTACAGGTACTTCGTATCTAGCCATTCAGGGGCGTCAGGATGCGGGAATTCCGCTTGGGAACCGTCAGAGGAGGGGCATTCCCGCTGTCCTGCTCACACACCGCACCAATTTGCGACGGCCGCCGCAACGACTTGCACACCGCAAGCGGTGGCGAGGGCCCGTGTTGGGACCTGTCGATGAGCAAGAAGCGAGCGTTCCGACGCGTACCAGACGCGGAACAGGCTGCCCACACACGTACCCCAGCGACGCATCGTGGATGACTGCGAAGCCCCGCGTGCCAGTGCGCTCAAGACGAGCCCACATGTCAGATCCAAGATCCCAGAGGGCGAAGACGGTGCCTCGTATCTGTGCCGCCGCCGGGAGCACATTGCAGGGCGGCGACGCGGGGTTTCGTATACTGCTGATCTTGCCTGCCACTTGCTGAAACATTCATCGCGATGCGGCTTCGTTAGAGTCTCGTAAGGCGGTCCGAAGGGCGGCATCACTCGTCCGCGAAGGCGAGGTCGACCCAGGCTGCCGCCGTGGTCCAGGACTCCCCGTGCGCGCAGGAGACTGCACGATCTCGTCGCGGACTGCATGAGCCCGTGGCAGAAGCTGTGCGCGCGTTTCCACAGCGAGTACCGTGCGCCTAGGCCGCGAGTCTGTGTATCGGACATGAGCCTCCGACAAAAAGAAGCAAAACAACGGCTACGCGGTACGCACCGTACCGCTCTCGTGAAGCTCGTAGCACGCCTGAGTATGTCTGCGTCGCACCCAGTGCATGCAGGCCGCCATCGCCGCCGCGCGCCGCTTCTGCCTCGGATCCACAGGTCCGCCGCGCGATGATGTCCGGCCTCCCGCCGTCCGTCCAAATTTCAAACCCTCCCGACGCGTTCAGAAACGACGGGGCGTGGTACTGGTGGTTCCATAGGTCGTCCCTGCCAAGTTACGCGGCGCCAGAGAACGGGAGCGCCGCGGGACGCGCGATATTCCGCCTCCCGACGGGTTTCGCCCATGAAACCGGCCGAAACAGCGCGATTTCGACCTCGCCGGATCGCGGCGCGACGCCGCACGCGCATGCGCCCGGGTGCATGGGAGCGCGGTGTCGCAATTGGGAGGCCCGCGAGGCCGCCGGTGGGGCGCGAGATGCGCGGCATGGATGTGGGCCTGGCCGAGCAGCCGGCGGGGTCGTGCGTTGCTGGCGTCCGCGCGACGCGGATGGGTGGCCCTGAGGATGTCGTACATGGGGCTGGGACGCGGGGCTGGGTGTCGTGGCGGGGACGACGTGCGTTTCTGCGCGCGGGACGTCTGGAAACGCGAGACAGTCAGTGTGGCTCGCGTGCGCAGAGATCCGGACGGCGGAGAGCACCGACGCAGACGCAGGGCGCGCCGCTGCGGGATGTAGTGGTTCGGTACGCGTCTCGCGCCATCTTGGGAGCTGGAGCGTGTTCGCAAATGTTCCGCTGCGAAAGAGCTGGATTTCGACGCCTGTGTGTGTGCTTGAACGGGGCGGGCAGGCGAGAATGACGACGTACCGCCGTACTATGTGTGTGCGGAGCCTTGTGGTGTGTGCAGACGCGTCAGCGTAAGGACTCGAGATAGTCCAACAGGGTGCTAGTGTATGTATGTACCCCAGGCGACTTGCATGGTGTGCGGGACGATCCTGGGTGGTCTACACGCCGCAGTGTCGGCGTGCAAGCTCTTGCTTGTGCCTGTCATCCTTCGGACGTCCCATCGCGCTATATTGTACACGAGAGCACCGTATGCACATTGCAGACCTGCGAGCTGCTATCAGCGAGACGCACAGCGCGAGCTTAAGTGAGCCCGAGCTTAAGTGAGCTCGAGCTTAAGTGGGCACTCGCAAGACCGCTGGCTGCCCTCGCCATCGCCATGATCGCGTGCCCACCCCGTCCAACATAGCGATGGCGGAATGCAATGCGGCGGGGCGCGCACACCTCTTTTGAGCTCTCTGCGGGCGTGCAGCAGGGCGCATACCGCCCCGGTGCATGGTGCATGGTGCATGGATCGCTAGGGATGCAAGGCGCACGGTACTCGTCGTCACACAGACCTGGGAGGTCGAGTGAGATCACGAAGGATGTATCCTGCCGGCGCGGGACGTCGGCACGGCGGTCTATTACGGTACACGATGGGACACGGCGCAAACGCGCAGAACGTCTGGGGCGGCGCAGACGAGCCACTTCACGCCGCAGCTGTCCGTCTCCTTCAGTGGACCGTGACGCTGTCCAGGGGCGACGTGCTCGCACAGCGTTCCCCAGGATGCGCCTCACGACGTGCACGGCGAGCGTGCGTGCGTGCGTGCGTCGGGATGCACGCACGTACAGTGCCGCGAACGACGACGGTCCCCATCGTTGTATCGGGCGCGGGCGGACGTGTCCCGCACTCGACAGGTACGCCGTCTCCAGCCCGGGGCGCGCTGTCCGCCTCGCTGACTCACTGCTGGCGCACCAGACTGTGCGGCCACGCCGCAACGCGCGTAATACGCACGGGTTGCACACGACCGAAACACGACACTCACCGATCTGGCGGCCGGCGTCCAGGGGCGTGCTTAGCGCGGTAGCCTGGGAGACCCGCACCGCGTCGGCAAATCCGCGCGTCCACGCACCGCAGCCGGGTTTGGGGTGTCCGCGATGCGCCGCGTCCGTGCATGCGAGGGTGGGTGGGCGAGCGAGCGAGCGGGGGTGACCTGCCCGAAAGCGGGGGCGTATAAGAGCGGTGCGGACAGGGCGAGGGGGCAGCCATCTCCCCTCCTCCCGTTCGCCCTGCTCTCTCGCTCTGGAAGGACTTGCCCTGTGGTCGCGCGTCGTAGATGTCGCTTCCGGGGTGGTTCTGCTCATTCTCTGGCACCGTCTCGTCTTCGCTGTGCGTCGTAGACGGGCTGGCCCTGCTGGTGCACCCGTTGGGCTGACTCGGTGAGTACTGCGTCCGCCTCGACGTGCATAGACGTTTGCTTACCTTTATGTATACAGGGCGAGGGTGCTGCGGCCACGGAGTTGATGGGGTTCACGCGGGAGGAGGGCATGGTCGATAGCGTGGGTATGCTGGTCAAGGTACAGTGGCAGTCGCGGGTTCCGACTCGTGTTATGTGGTGTAGAGCTAGCGTACTGCGTGTCAATACCACATTGTTTCGTTCAAATGATGCGGAGACTCACCCGCGGCCCAGTACGGTTGCTGACAGCGCTTGTGAGCCATCTGCACGTCGTGGACGTCTGTATGCGACTGTGCGTCGCCCCAGTAAGTGTTGGAGCGTAATGTAAGCGGCGACGGTACGATTTGGCTGGGTAGCATACTGGAAAGCGACGTTGTGAGTGTCGAGCTCGCTTGTATGTGCCTGCAGCCGAGATTGGATGATCGCCGGAGGGAGCGTTGAACGAGTACGAACGTGCATACATAGAAGCGATGACGCACGCTGCGTGCGGGGCCATGGCACACCAGAAGGCGCCAGAGGGCGGGTGTATGCGCGTCGTCCACGAGCGCCTTGACTGCCAGACGACTGGCTGCAGCGACAGGCGAGGGAGGACTCGCGGTGGGGAGTCGCGGTGGGGAGTCGTGCGTGTGCGTGTGCGCTAGGACTAGCACCGTTCAGTCGCTTGCTAGGACTAGCACCGTTCAGTCGCTCGCTAGGCCTGCGCACGACGAGACAGCGCGGCAGACGGTTTCGAGCAGGGGCCAGCGAGAACGCGAGTGACGGGCGAGGGGAAGCGCACGACGCGTGTCGTCATCGATCGAGCCAGCCAAGCCCGAGTCCGAGTCGCGAGTCGCGTCGCTCCCGCGGGGGGGCCGGACTGAAGGAGAGATGAGAGGGACGAGTACGCGTTCACTCACACGGCGCCGGCAATGCGCGCTGCACAGCCACATATACCCGTACCCCGCGAAAGTCGGAGTCCTGCTTCCGGACCAACCTCCTCCTGCCTCTTTGTCAACAACTGTGGACATGCGATTCGGGCTATCATTTGCCGGCACGAACGGACATACCAGGTCGTATATCGAGGATCCCGAGAAGCAAGTAGATTGGTCGTACTTATGTACGGAGTTGCGCAGCTCGACCGACTTGGCGTTCTCGATGAGCCTACTCCAACGTCGGAGCGCTTACAATGTTCACTTTTGACGTGGCGATCTACGAGCTTTCTCGTGTTGATTCCAAGGTACGTACACTGGTACAATTTGGGCACCACATCACATCTGCTCTAACCTTCGAAAGCATCCGGCAGACATCAGGTACTGCGTTCGTGTTGTGACCAGCCCACTTGCAGCCCACATAAACACGGTGCTCCCAGAGCCATGTCATCTATCTGCAAGACCTGATCTGTAACAAGCCTAGGCGAATCGCTCAACTCTTCCTGAGAATGCTCGACGGTGCAAACCAAGATGTTTTGAGCTCTGAGCTCTAAGTGCGAGGACGATCGTCGTGTACCGCTGTATGGAGACGCGCAAGATACCGTCTTCAAGATACCCCCCTGTGGGTTTTACGCCAGCCCCCTGCTCGAAACTGTCCTCCCCACCCGGCTCGCCGTGAGCATGCCGTTCATAGTGATGAGCGCGCCAAAATATTCGCATACGACTGCACGCATTTTAGGCCATTCAAACGGCAGAAATATGGTAGGCGCCAGGAAGTCACGTACGGAACGCCACCCCGGTGTGTCGTCTCCGTGCACCATTTCGCATCTGAACTGCTCACGGTTTTGCATTGCATCAGTACGCCGCCGTCATAATCTGAGCACGTCGCGGCTACGCGCACCTTTGGTGTCTTGGACATGCGATGTACTGATAGTCCCCTTTGGCATCTAGGCAGCGTCCTCGAGCTTCAGTTGCACACGATTGATGATCGCTATACCTTTGAAGGCACAGAGAGCTACACCCACTGGAACCGACTACTTCCTCCGGCCAGCCCCAGGCAGTGCACTGTGTGGCACCTCGAATATCTATGGGCGGCGCCGCGCACGGATGTTCGACTGTCACGGCAGTGGGCCTATTCGCAAATTCCTCCATTTATCAGTTGCAGTACTTGTGTGCGAGCGATGCAGAATAGAACGCTGGCGTATTCCAAGACGAACGCAACAGTGAATACTGTGTGTTCGAGTCCCAACCTGCATGCAAGTTTTTGGTGGTACGAGAGAGAAGAGCGATGCCAGCGGAAGCGCCCGTGTTCACTGCCCACTCCCGATTATGATCTGTACTCTCCCTCCAAGAAGCCCCATGGTATAACATTGCACGGCCCCGATGATACAAATAACGGCAAGATAATGATACTCCCGGTACATACTCGTGTCAATGCTCAAGCGCCATACTCCGGAGGAGGCACGTCTGTGCCATACACCGACTGCCGTGGCGGACGCGTGGCCATGCGCTCCGCGAGGAGGTGTATGATCCTGTCCACCGCGACGTTGGGATCGGGATTCGACTCCGCCGGGGACGAGGCGTGCGTCGTCGTCGGCGAGACCACCGCAGCCGCCTGCGCGGCGGAGCCATGCGCAAGAGAGTGATCGGAGACCGTGCGCCCGGACTCAGACGGCGCGGACGATGACGCGGAACCAGAGGGGAGCGCGGGCAGGGCGCGTGTTTGGGACGGTACATAGCCGTCCGAGCCGATCGCCAGTATGGGCAGCTTCGTGTCGCCTCGGGGCGGCGTATATGGGCCGCGCTGCGTCGGGACAAACGGGCTCGCCTCCGCCATGGGGGCGGCGGTGGAGGGCGTAGCGAGGAACGGGGATGGCTGTTCGCGGTCGAACACTTTCGGGTTCTGCCGCCTGCGGCGGGCGAAGTACCAGAGGAGTCCGGCGACGAGCGCGACGAAGGCGAGGCCACCGATGACACCACCCGCGATGGCGCCAGTATTCGTCTTTGAGTGTCCCGCGGAGGAAGGGGCGTCGGATGTTGTGCCTCCTAATGGCTGAGTGCTCGAGGAGGGCGCACTAGAGGAAACACTTAAGACACGCAGCTCTCATTGGCAAGACTCGTGCATGCGACAAACCTGATAAGTCCGCCAACTTCTGAAGGATTATCGGTAAAGACAGTGACTGTGTTCAGCCAGAACTTGAGGCCAGCGCCGACGGTAGGCAGAACATTGATGGTGTGGGTCTTGGTGGGATCCAGCCCGTCCTGATAGTACAGGAGCGCGTCTCCGATGAACCACATCGTGCTCGCGTTGTAGGTGACTGCCGCTTGGTCGTCGAGGGTCTGCAAAAACCGCGGGTCGGCACTCCGCCCGCCAGAGATCGTAGAGCAGGACTTACGACGTCGTACGCATAGCTGCCCCAGATGCGCGAGCCGTTGATCGCGACACCTACGCCCTGGAAGGAAAAGGAAAATGAGGCCGGGGCGTTCTCGACCTCGAAGTAAGGAGCGGGATGTTGCTGGTTGGGGATGAGGGGATCGTTGAGGATGGTCCAGTTGCCAGAATATTGGATGAACGATGTGTTGGTGGCTTGATATACATGGGCGATGGGTACCTGTGCACTGCGACAATTGTCAGTTGCGCAAGTAGCGAGACTTTGATAGAGTGCGGATGTACCCAGTGGCGATCGGCCGCGACACATCCGCGCGCTCGAAGGCGAACTCGTTGGCGCGCGACGCGTTCGCAGTCAAGGAGACCGAGTGCAGGCCCTCCGAGAGCCCGTCTTGCGAGAACAACTGAGTATTCTGGCCGCGTTTGGCTGTCAAAGTCTTGGTGGAGTTTCCGTCCACGGAAACTTCGTAAGAGCAGTTTGCAATACCGAACAGAGAAATAGATGTGCCTGTCCTCAATACGTTCGTGAGCAAGTGCTGGGAAACGAAGCGAGTGCACTCACCATAGAACTGAAAGTCGAAGCTCGCGTTCGGAAACGCCGTTATATGCATCGAGTTTCCAAGCGCAGCTTCCCCGCCCCGAGTCGTGAATCCCCCAGGAGAGCCGGAGTAGAACGGTTGCCAGCCATCCGCAGTCAAGTTGCCGAGGCCCCCATCCCCTGCCAGCCAGTCGTGGATAAACGACTCCTCACGCATTTCATTTCAAGAACGCCAGACGTACCTTGCGGGTGCCAATTGATGATCGAACTCGCGTCGTCGATCGTCATCGTGTAGGTTTCGCCCATCTTGCCAGCAGTAGAGGGACAGTGCCAGAACGCAGAGTGGAGGGGAGTCCGAAACGAAGCCGGAGCTACATGCCCGGCGCGCGGGGGACCTCCTGGGATGATATACTGCTCGGATCCGCCACCGTCGAGGCTGTGGGAATGCCCGTTTGCTCGGAGACGTTTGTCGCTATATACATTGCATCCCTCTGCGCGGCCGAGCGGAGAACCTCCACAGCGTGTGCACGCATGTCAACGGCGATGATGTTGGGAACAATCTAGCTTTCGGTACTGGAGAGCTATCAAAAGATGTTACTAGATTGAAGCCCGCTCACGTACAGCATACGGAACTTCGAGCGGTTTATGTGCCTTGTGATGGTGGGTGCGGATAGCGCAGCCAGCCGCAGGTGCCGAACGTACACCTGTCAAGGCTGAAGATTCTCGCCGCCATGGGACCGAGCTGCGAACGGGGACATCGTAACTGACTTCCTGCAGCTGGACTGATCATCAGCGGGGTTGCAGTGCATCGAAGAACATCAATAATAAGAACGTACCTGGGGGAAGATGATGATGGGGAGAGGACTATCTTGCGCGTTGTTAGCCTTTCCTGAGTGCTCAAATGCTTCGTGCGCCTGGGGCGATTGGAAAGTGCTCACCGAACTCAACCTCTCTACACCCACCGGAAAGAGCAGCGGAACATGGCATCAATCAACGATAGAGGAGAGGCTCACGAGTTGCCGGCTCCAGACGCCCGCATGTTAGTACTCTCACGGTTTGCATCTTAGTAGCATCCATCCTTCGTCTTCGTCGACGTGAGTTTCCGATGAAGGACTCGGTAAACGTAATGGAGAAGAGATGTCGGCTGCTATGCAGGACAATAGCCCGGCACGGCGTATGTACTCTCAAAGAACATAGCTCAAGTTGCTCGTATATGCAGATGGTCCAGGAGTCTGCAGGTCGTGACAGTCGTAGCATAAGGAAGACGTGGTCTTCGATTGGTATGCGTAAACAAGGTGATGGACCGCAGCGAGGAAGCCGATCCCTATCAAGCAGAGACGATCATAGGCAAGTGCTAAGATCTCCCCAGTCAATCCCATCTTGCAGCTCCAAGACTCACCGCCATCCTTGCATTCCATACAGCTCGGAGCATCGGCTCAGATTCCGAGCTCATAGACGTACGCGAGTGCGACCTTCGCAAACTCGAGCGAGTGGCTCCACGAGAAGCCCGAGACGGACGTCGTATCACCCGTTGAGTGGATGTTCTGATTGTCGTTGCCCGTGACCGCCTCGTAGAGCATGCCCGTCGGGTACCCCTGCTTGTACCAGCTCGCGTGGTCAGAGCACGCATAGCCACACTGCGATGACAGTTTGTGTCAGCCAACCTGGGTGGCAGGGAAGCAGAGAAGAGAGTCCTACTGCAGTGTCCATTGCCCAGTCGAGCGTGGAGTACGTGTCGATCACTTGCTTCAGGAAGCTGGTGAGCCCCGAGTCGATGTAGTCCTGCGCTTTGCCATCAGCATCATCGATCATCCAGAACATTTACTAGTGCGGCAGGACTCACGGCTTCGAGCGCGATTACCTCCTTCGAGCCAGGCTTGAAGTACGCGGACATGTCGAGCTCAAGGAACGCCTTGACCGTCGTGCCACTGCTCTTGTAACTTTTCGCGACGGCCTGGCTGCCGAGGAGCCCGGCCTCCTCACCGGAGTACCAGTGGAACTCGACGGGCGTCGAGGGCTTGAAGCCTGCAGCCACGAGTGCGCGGAAGACCTACACCGAGATGGATATGAGTCGTGCAGTCGCGACAAAGGAGTGCTGACATACCTCAAGAAGGTTGACGGTACCAGAACCGTCATCGTCTGCGCCTGGGGCACGTCCGCTGGATGGGCTGTCCAGGTTGATCGAGTCCTCGTGTGCGCCAATGATGGTGACCGGGCCGGAGGAGGTGCCCTCGAACCGCGCAATGACCGAGAACTGCGCCCACGAGTGCGTAAACTTGGATACCTTGATGTCGGTGCGGGACCCAGCGAACTGTACAGACCGAGAACACCAATCAGGCACGCGCGCAGCGTATGTAGAGATGTGTCGCGCACGTACCGATGTGACCTTGTCAAAGATCCACTGGCTAGCGGACTTGCCGGTGGTGCTCGTGTAGTACCGGTTGTTGAAGGCCGTCAGCGGCGTCAGGTACGACTGCATGTTCGACGTAGAGAGGGTCTTAATGATAGCCGTCACCGCAGACGAGTGCGAGGGTGCAGGGACTACGCAAACTAGTCAGCGGCCACTTTCATCGATTCTCTGAGGGAGTGGCCCACAAGTCGTCGCGGAGGCGAGAGCCTTGAAGGTCACGGGTGCCGAATCTTCAGGCTCGTAGACTTCCGTCACGTCAAACTATATCGCAAGCATCAGTACCATGCTGCAATAACTGCGAGGAGAACAGGGACTTACGAAGTGAACTTTGGCGCGCAAGAGCTCCAGCTTCTCCTCTTCGGTCTTCCACACCGGCTCCGCGCCCTCAGCGAGGCTGAGGAGACGAAACCCCTGTGCGGCCTTGTCCGTGAGCTCCTGGGGTGCGACTGGGGCGGCGTGTACAGCGCTGAACGCAGCAGCAAGAAGGCAACCAAGTACGGAGAACTTCATGACTGCAAGTTAACCTACGCAGGGCGGGATACCGTGAATGAGGCGGTCAGCCAATCTCCCTCTGCGCTCGCCATTTTATACGCGCAGTTAACCAGCCAGGTTATCACCGTGATGCTTGTGGCAGCCAAGCTTCGTACTCGAGGAGCGACGCGTTCAAGCACGCTGGAGGTCAGCTCCATCCGGAGGGATTGTGGCGACCACGCGATGCCAAGCCGAGGATGGGCAGGATTGATGCTCCCGGCGGTATCTGCCCGGCATGTGGATTTTCCCCCGGAAGCAAACACTAGGCCGCCAAGTAAGAGGCGCATGCGGTGCGGTGTTGCGCGCACGCAACTCGAAGGTAGTAGATGGATGGCGAGCATGTACGAGGCATCTCTTAGGTGTCCTGGTGACGACATACCCATATGGCCATGGCCCCAGCAAAGATAGGGAAAACCAGGGCTCCTCTGTGAACACGCTGCGGCGAGAGCGAGTGAGTCTAGGCAAGTGCTTGTGTTTGAGGAAGACTCGGGGAGTCATCGTCGTCCAGGCGGAGCGCACGCAACCGATGGTCGCAGTCGACGCCATAAGCGTTCTTTGTGGCGTCCGGCCTCGCATACACTTACACGATGAGGTTGACACTTGTCACGATACCGATACATACAAACCCCACCAGCTTCGTATTGCCGTCCGGAAGGATCAAGAGAGATCGATGCGCATCGTGCATCATCATGCGCGCTCCCTTAGGCGTTGATGGCGGCCACCTCGTAGAGGTAGGTTCCGATAAGTTTGCTCTGGGATAGTGTACTCGCATTAGTTAGGGGATCGGTGGTCGATGGCAGTGAAACATACCCCTTCGATGAAGTTAGAGCGATCAAGCTTTTCGTTGGTGGAGCTGTATGTGCTGCCATCAGGTGTGTCCCGGGGATGACGAGCGAGGCACAACTTACTGAGCGCCGTCATCACCACGGCCCATGGGGAGCAGGAGGACGTTCACCCCCAAGTTCTCCGCGAAGGTGAGCGTCACAGGGATCGAACCACCCTCCCGAGTTAAGTCGGGGGTCCGCTTGTACACCGCCTATGCATGACGATGCTCAATACGACGCATGCATTAGAATATGGGAGAGAAGGCGCACCTCGGTCGCACGGCGCGCAGCCTCGTAGTTCCAGTGCTTGTAGTCCTCGACCCACGGCATCCCCCCTCCCACGAGTTCGATCTTAAGCGTATTTTTCGACTTCAGCTTCGCGAACTCCTCTTCTACGTACTTCACGACGAGGGCCGCGATGGAAGCAGGCGTTTGTGGGGGCACAAGGCGGAGGGAGAACTTGCCATTGACGCGCGCAGGGATGACGGTCTTCCCGCCGGGTCCGCTGAACGCGCCCTCAATCCCGTGCAGGGAGAGCGCAGGCATGCGCATGCGGCCCATGAGCACTGTCGCCTTGTCATCTGAGAGCGCGATAGACGCGCCAGCCGTCTCGTCGACGTCCGCGATTGAATAATCGAGCTTCTCGTAGATCACGCTGCGGTAGACTGTGAGCTACGCGATGCAGAAGAATGGCAGCGAGATTGCACACCGCTCTTCCGCGTCTGGCGGGGCAATCATGTCTTCTACGCCGGGGATGAGGATGGTGCCGTCTGGCGCGACAAGCCTTCCCATGAGGAAGATGAGGTCCGTCATCGGCTCGTGGACTACACGCCCAAACCCGCCAGAGTGAAGGTCCCGTCCTGGCCCTGAGACGGTCATGTGGAAGAAGGCGATGCCGCGAAGGCCATATGTGAGGCAGGGCGTGCGCGTGTTCTGCCAGTAGTTATCCGACTGAATAAACAATACAGGTTAGATAGGGATGCGATGCACCCAGTGTGAGCACGTACAATGCATACACAGTCGACGCCGTGGAACCAGCCATCCTTGCCCTTGGCAACTTCAGACTCGATGAGCTTGTCGAGCCCATCGCTGCTGCTTTCTTCCATGCCTTCGAGGCAAAAGCGCAAGTTCACGGGTAGATCTAGCCCGAGAGTCCCGTGCGCCTCAAGAACGTTCAACCACCCCAAAATGGGACCTTTGTCGTCCGTGGAGCCGCGACCGATCAGCCGTCCAGTTTCCTTATCTTCGACGAGTTCGAAGGGCTCGGTATCCCAACCGTCGCTTTTCTCTGCCTATATAACATTACGTGAGTTGCCGCGCAAAGGTGTGGATGAAATGTGCCATTCGCTCGCGGAAAACGCGTGAGGAGCGGAACGTACAGGTTGCACATCATAATGGCCGTATACGAGCACCGTCTTCTTCTTCGGATCGTTTCCGATCTCACCCAAGATCACGGGCGGCAAAGGCAGCTCCTTGCCATCCATGTCCTGCATCCCAAGGTCTGCTAATTGCGTAGCGACTCCTAAGCTTGTGAGTTGATTGTTGAGCCAAGCAGACATTTTGATGACATCCGGGCGATAAGCCCCATCTACACTGACGCTGCAGGCGAGGTCAGCTGTACGTAGTCCGAGGGTACCAAGGAGAACACCACGAACCTGGGGATTGCGACTGCTTCCGCCAATCTATTCACAAACTTCTGGGAATTCCGGTCGATAAAGTGCAGGAATTGCGCTACCGGTGCTGCCATCTTGTGGTCGGAGGAGAAGTCGAGTAGCAAGTGCTTTGCAAACCTCGTCACCACCCTGCGGCCGGAATAAGCCGACGTGCACTAATCCGTCAAGGCCCGATGGATGAATGGACACTTTTCGTCGTGACACGCCAAGGCTTGTGGTATACCACATCTTTGTGGTCATTGACAATTACCAATAAGAATGCAAAAATCCTCGAGTGACGCAAGTCCGACACGCCTGTGTTATTGCGCGCGGTCCTCGGTCGCATACAGCACTGCGTTCTGCATTCCTTTCTCGCAGTGACATGGTTGGTACTACCATTCCGCCGTGATGAAATAGATGAGTAAGTCACTCTATAACAGCAACATCAGAAGACTCACCTGCTTAGCCCGCCGCGTCTTCCGTTTCTTCAAAGTTGTAGCTGAGCTCTTCCAGACCAAGGCTGGGTACACTGTTTTGACACCCGCTCTCGCATGATTCCAGAAAAAATAGCCTCAAATGATTGCTAAATGAAGTGGTACCAGCACGAGAGGATAGAAGATGACAGAGTAAAGTACTCGCTGGGCGAGGAGGAGAGAAAAGTGTTGAGATTCACTTGCCGAGATTCCCGCTCAGTATTTGACGCCCGCTCAGTCGGGCGGAACCCGTGCTTCCTCCTCTCACTCTCATCTTCCAGCTATGGCGTCTTCTCAGTTTCTCCAATTCATCGACCAGAATGCCCAGAAATTCATCGGAAGACTAGCGGAGGCTGTGGCGATCCCTAGGTCTGTTGCGCGCAAGACCGAATCGGGCAGGACTGACGAGGACGCGACACTTCCAGTGTGAGCGGAGACGGATCCCACCGCCCCGACGTCTTCAAGATGTCTGCCTGGCTCGATGGTCAGCTCAAGGGTCTCGGCGTCACCACGAAGCTCGTCGACCTCGGCAAGCACGTCATGGACGGCCAGGAGCTGCCTCTGCCGCCCGCGATCCTCGGAAGGATCGGCGATGATCCCAAGAAGAAGACTGTGCTCGTGTACGGTCACTACGATGTTCAGCCGGTATGTCTACCCCCAATAAACGTAAATGTGGTTCTTTCATCTGTTTTTGTGGGTCAGGCGAACAAGAGCGATGGCTGGGACACCGAGCCCTTCAAGCTCGTGGTTGACGAGCAGACCGGGCGACTTATCGGGCGCGGATCTACGGACGACAAGGGGCCCATCCTTGGGTGGCTTAACGTACTTGAAGCGCACAAGACTCTCGGCATCGAACTGCCCGTCAACATGCGCTTCTGCTTTGAGGGAATGGAGGAGAACGGCAGCGAGGGTCTGGACGATCTCATCAAGACCGAAGTCACGAAGGGCAAGGAGTCCTGGTTCGACGGTGTCGACTGCGTGTGCATCGTACGTCTGCGTTTACTTGAAGGAAAGGATCGCGTGTCTCACGGTCCGCATACATGCAGTCGGACAACTACTGGCTGAACTCGCGCACACCTTGTATCACGTACGGTCTCCGCGGGCTCGTGTACTTCAAGCTCAGCGTCTCGGGCCCCGCGCGCGACCTGCACTCTGGCGTGTTCGGTCGAATGGTGCACGAGCCGATGACGGACCTCATCCAGGTAATGAGCAAGCTCGTCGCGGCCGACGGCACGATTCTTGTCCCCGGCGTCGATGACATGGTCTCGGTCGCGGATGATGAGGAGCGGTCAGTGCGCTTTTCATCTTATACGCGTCGCTGCGTAGAGTCTGATTTCTTACGATGTATGCAGGAAGATCTACGAGAAGCTGGACTACTCGGTCCAGGATGTAGAGGACGCGGTCGGCGCACCCATCACACTCTCGGACGACAAGGTCACTGTCATCATGGGCCGCATGCGCCAGCCATCGCTCTCGCTTCACGGTATCGAGGGCGCGTTCTACGGGGCGGGCGCGAAGACGGTCATCCCGGCTTCCGTTTCGGGCAAGTTCTCGATCCGCATCGTGCCCCCGCAGACGCCCGAGAAGATCGAGCCGCTTGTTGTGCAGTATGTCGAGCAGGAGTTTGCGAAGCTGAACTCGAAGAACAAGCTCAAGATCGAGAACCTGCACGATGGCCGGCCGTGGCTCGCGGACTACAAGCACTGGAACTACGAGGCTGCGCGTCGCGCGACTGAGGTGCGCATCTTATCTGCTCTCTGTATATATGCGTCATATTGAGGGATCATGATATATAGGCGGTGTACAAACAGACTCCCGACTTGACTCGCGAGGGTGGCTCGATTCCTGTGACGCTCACCTTCGCGGAGAGCTTGGGTGTGAACGTTCTACTGCTCCCGATGGGCCGCGGCGACGATGGCGCACAGTAAGCATCATGGGCCACGTCCGCATATCGACTTCTTCTAATGCGGCATACAGCTCTACGAACGAGAAGCTCGACCGCTCGAATTTCATCGAAGGGGTATGTACCCCGCTCGTCAGATGTCCTTGCGTTCTATTAACATACGCCCGTTCGCAGAGCAAGCTCCTCGGCACGTACCTCTACGAGGTCGCCGCGTCGAAGGCATGAAGATAGACACCGATGTGTGGATCGGCGAGACACGTACGAAGTTGGAAACGTCAGAATAGGAATGTATCAATGTACGTCGTCCAGGTGTTGTGCTTGTAGTGCTAAGATCGCAGAGTGTATCCACTGTTGTATCACTGGCCCCTCTTGCAATGCAGTGTATTCTTTAGGGCTCTGGAGACGTGGCCACGATGTTATGAACGAGCCCATGCGGCTTGTGAAGAAGCGCTTTCGTGGCGCGCACGAGATTGATGGACGGATGCGATATTCGAGTGAGTGTTGCTTTGGGCTTGTGGTTTGAACCCATCACTCACGTCAAACAGTAAAATGTCTGGAACGAGCGCTTGCATGATGCCTGTTGCTTTCTCACTCCACTCTTCACTGAAGGTACACCAATGTCTCCTGCTCAGGCAGGTTGTTGCAGACGGTGTTCTTTAGACTCTGAGGACGGGTAATGGTTACTCATGAAAGTGCTTCCGCAACTCTATCGCTGACGCTATCCCGCTTCGCCGCCATTTCTGGTTATAGTAGGTTAGTTCCCCTTGCGGAGACCTCTTCATCAGCGGAGACTCACACAAGTATTTCAGATGGCTGCAGAAGTTCCTATATATGTCAGAGCCCGGTTAGTATAGCGATTGAGGTGGGTACGTAGCGCTTAATGCGACCGAGCAGGGACGACATCATGTGAGGTATTGCATCCAGGTCATGCATCCTCCGATAGACGCAGCTCGTAGCCGCGCAGCCAGTGGTTATAAGGCGGGCTTCGGGTCCATCGAAGTCCTGACTACTCCACGGTCATGCTGGATCTGAATATGGCTCTGACCTCGTCTCTCGCGGCGATCGCGCTCGTATGCATCATGTCCGTTTTCTTCAAGCACATCATCACGAATCGTCGCAAACTGCCTCTGCCTCCTGGACCTCGTCGGCTTCCGATCATCGGGAATGCGCTTTCCATCCCTACGCGAAGAATTGCGCAGGTTTATCGGGAGATGTCGATGGAATACGGTATGTGCACTTCTTATATGCTCTCATTCTGTTTCGATTTGGCTTATTGTTTATGGCATTGTAGGCGACCTCGTATATCTCGAGTCGTTTGGTCAACCTCTGCTGGTCATCGGAACTCATGAAACTGCGCTCGATCTCCTCGAAAAGCGTTCTGCCAAATACGCGGACAAAGTGCACTCCACCATGGCGTCTCTGTAAGCCTGTCCGCGCGGCCCGTTTCTACATTGTGTCGCCGGACTAAATCGAGCGATGATAGCGCAGGATGGGATTGGGTGTTGCCCATCATGCCCTACGGACCCTGGTGGCGACGGAGCCGGAAGGCGTTCCACGAGTTCTTCAACCCGGGAGCTATCGTGCAGTACCGCCCCGTCCAGTTGGAATGCTCCCAGCGCATCCTTTCGCGGCTCGTCAGGGACCCGCAGCACTTTCCAGAGCATATCAGACAGTACGTCCGCCCTACCTCCCTGGTCACACTGATGATTGACCTACGTTGACATGCGATGTCTCAAACGCAGCTGTATCGGGTCGGGCATTATGCGCATCACATACGGCATCGACATAGAGAAGGAGACTACCCCGTACATGGCCATAGCCGCCGAGACGATGGCGACGTTCGCCGCGGTGTTTGTCCCGGGGAAGTATCTAGTCGAAACCTCCCCGATTTTGCGGTTCCTCCCATCCTGGCTCCCGGGAGCGCGGTTCAAGCGAGAGGGGAAAGAGTGGACGCGGATCGTGCGGAGGCTCAGGGACACGCCCTGGAATGCGACTGCCGCAGCTATGGTGCGCTCTAGCTGTGCGTTCGTCGTCATCGCTACTTACACCAAGGACAGAGGGATGGCAATGCGCCGCCTTCAATTATCATGTCGATGCTGGAACGCACCTCAGGCTTGGAAGGCCAAGCATTGGCTGAAGAGACTACTATTGCCAGGGACACCGCTTCATCAGCGTATGCCGGTGCGGCTGACGTGGTGCTGTTAATGAGGCTTACTGACAAGCGTGCATTCTGTAGGGGGCGCGGACACGGTATTACTTTGTACACGCAGTCTTTGCAAAGCACTGACAACTCGATGCTCTTGATAGCTGTTTTCCACTACCATGTCGTTCTTCCTGGCGATGGCAAGCTACCCGGAAGTCCAGAAGAGGGCTCAAGTCGAGTTAGACACAGTCGTTGGCCCACACCGCCTCCCAAACTTTGACGACCAGCCTTCTTTGCCATACATCGCAGCGATCATCAGGGAATGCATACGATGGCGTATTGTCGTACCTCTCGGCATCATGCATCATTCCATGGAGGACGACGAGTACCGTGGCTATCACATTCCTAAAGGCACGCTCGTCATTCCCAACGCATGGTGAGTACGCCGCTTGTATGCGGTCATGTTCAGCATCTGAATAGACGGCGCATACAGGGCTATGACTCGCGACACGAGACACTACCCCGATCCGGAAGAGTTCAAACCTGAGCGATATCTGAAGGACGGCAAGCTGAACCCTGAGGTCCTTGACCCAGGAGATTTCGGCTTCGGGTACGGCCGCCGGTCAGTGCAATGACCCTCGGCGACGTGAAACCCTAAAAGCTGATTCGGTCCGTACGCGCCTTGTTATCAGCGGATGCCCTGGACGCGACTTCAGCGAAGCGGCGCTCTTTTCGTTTATGTCGCACGTGTTGCACACACTCAAGATAGGCCCTCCACTCGACGTAGACGGGAAGCCTTTGCCCCTCGACGTCGGAATGACTGACGGCGGCATTTTGGCGTAAGTGTTTGGTTGCTCCCGAAGAAGTCAGCTGTTCATCTATCATGCTTTGGCTATCTTACAGACTTCCGGAACCATTCGAATGCACTATCGCCCCTCGCTCTGCGGAGGCTGAAGCGCTCATATTCGGTTCTAGCTGAGCGCGAAGGACAGCAAGCTTCTTTTCGGCACTGGCGGGCTTACTGCGTCGTCCCCCGCATGTATATGCTACCAAACTCGTTCGTTTACTCTCAGGCATCTGCAGAATCTGGCAAGACCCACGGCGAACCTACGGCTAGAGTGTGAAGATCTGCCAGCCTTCCAGCGCTCGCTACCTCGGTAGCAATAGTAGGCACAGTAGGTCAGGCCGCAGATACGTTTAGCCGTGCAAGGTCAGGGCGCGGCACTGGGGAGGCGCTTCTTGCACCACGCTCATTGGGTGCACATCGCTCGTTCTTAGGTCCCACAGGCAGGGTTTGGCCACCTTCTCAAGAGGCGATCCTATACATCTGTCTTTCTCTCGGTGCTTCCGGTGAATAGGCAAATCACTAGATGCTCACATGAGCTTAATGAAATAAGTACTTGCTATGGTCCCGCGCCCACAAACGCTCTACTCGTCGAAGCGATCTTCGGTGGTTCCATATAAGCTCGAGGGTCGCAGGCCCGGTCCCGCTCAGATACGATGGCTATCTCTCCTGTCCTCTTCGCTTTCGTGATTTTGTTGGGCGCTGCGACTCTATGGAAAAGGATCCGGAGCTTGCATAGGGATCTCCCATTGCCGCCTGGGCCGCGTCGACTGCCTATCATTGGCAACGCTCTCGCTATGCCGGCCAGGGACCTACCCAAGGCGTTCCAAGACATGAATAAGAAATACGGTACGTCTCGCAGATCTTACATATCATCGTGTGTTCTAACTTGCGTCCTCTTCCAGGAGAGGTTGTGTATCTTGACGTCTTTGGACAGCCCATGGTTGTACTGGGGACACACGAGAGCGCAGTGGAACTGCTCGAGAAACGCTCAGCGAACTATTCCGACAGGATGCACTCGGTCATGGCCGCCTTGTGGGTTTGCTGTCTTCCCTCTTTGTTCCTGTTGCTGACGTGAACACAGGTCGGGATGGGAGTGGGCCCTGCCGCTCATTCCATACGGGCTGTTCTGGCGACGCAACCGGCGTGCTTTTCACGAATTCTTCCACCCTGGCATCGTTCCGGATTACCGAACCATCCAACTGGAGGCCGCTCGCGGGCTCCTCCGCCACCTACTTCAGGATCCGACGCACTACACGGAACACATCAGATAGTATGTTTTTAATCATCCGTTTCGTGACCTGAAAATGTTCTTACACTCGTTTCACAGCGCGTTCGGGTCGAGCATCATGCGTATCTCGTACGGCATCGATGTCGACAAGGAGAAGGTTCCGTACCTAACCATTGCCGAAGACGCGATGCAAACGTTCTCCGATGCCTTCGTTCCCGGAAAGTATCTAGTCGAGACGTTCCCGCTGTTGCGATTTCTCCCGTCATGGTTCCCTGGCACGAAGTTCAAGCGGGAAGGCACGGCTTGGACCTCAGTCGTGAACAGGCTACGGGATACCCCGTGGGACGCGACTGTCGCCGCGATGGTGCGCGACACACCTCTTCCTGTACTTAATTTACTAATTGCTTCGCAGCGAGAAGGCACCGCGCTTCCTTCGATCGTCACAGCTTGGACGGAGCGAGCCTCGGAGATGGAAGACTATGCGCCCGCCGACGAAGATGAAGTGACCAAGAATACCGCGGCTACCGCATACGCAGGTACGAGTCTCTGATTTATCCGCCCTGCGTGCTACTCTCTTAACGCAAATGCTCCATCATAGGTGGCTCTGACACCGTCAGTATCCCTTCTTGCCACTAGAGGACATAAACCCTATATTCACATACTTAATCTGCAGATGTTGTCGACGATCCTTAGCTTTCTGCTCGCCATGGCATCTTACCCCGAAGTGCAGAAGAAGGCTCAGGCGGAGCTTGACGACGTGGTCGGCGCACATCGGCTTCCGGACTTCGAGGACGAAGAGTCGCTGCCGTACATATCCGCGATTCTGAAGGAGTGCGTGCGCTGGCGGGTCGTCTTGCCGCTCGGACTTATTCACCGGTCGCTCGAGGACGACGTCTACCGCGGGTACTTCATTCCGAAGGGGACGCATGTCGTGCCGAATGCTTGGTACATTTTCCGCCATAGTCGTGCTTCTTCGTGGGGCTGACAAGGATGCGAAGGGCGTACACTCGCGATCCGCGGCATTATCCCGACCCCGAGGAGTTCATCCCAGAACGATTCTTGAAGGACGGAAAGCTAAACCTCGCGGTTCAAGATCCTGGAGATATCATCTTCGGTTATGGACGTCGGTATGTACTCCCCAAATGCCATTACGAAAATATGGCAAGACTGAGTCTTCAATCACGCAGCGTATGCCCTGGGCGTCATTTCGCGGAGGCAGCCCTCTTTGCGATCGTCTCGTCCGTACTGCACACCTTCGATATAACCGGTGCCCGGGACGAGCACGGCAATCCGGTGCGTCTCGAGGTCAAAATGACAGAAGGTGTTCTATCGTGAGTCCTCCCTGTTCACGACTAGGGAGAGAAGTTACGAGCAGTTTCCCCTTGCACATGACAGGTACCCCGAACCGTTTGAGTGCAACATCAAAGCGCGTTCAGCGGGGGCCGCAGCGTTGATTCACGAGAGCGCGCATTGACAGGATGTTTATCGAGGAAATGCAACCCCTGTTGTATGTACAGGTAAACATAGATATGCGACTCGGGTTCCCCACGATGCTATGGAGGCCGGTCGACGCGCGCGGAAAACTTACAGAAGGCGTCAAGGCTGCGCGGGTTCCAGACCGGTGGTCCTCGCTTAAGGGTGCCGACATGGCCGAGCTTGAGACGCTCTTCTCGCGCCTACCTATCTCCGTCTGGAAGGGATCGTCACGACTAACCTCAATCTTGAGCTCTAACACTTAGAAGCATGGACAGAACGGAACACAAGGTGGCTTCATGGAGAGCTGTGCTAGGAAGGGTTCTATGTGAGTGTTCTTGGTGTTGTTCACGGTGTCACTCGGGCCTAACATTGCCACGATTAGCAACGCAGCATCCAGGATGGACAGCATCATTCGAACGCACATGAAATTCTGATGCGCTTGCGGCGCCTTCTGTCGTCTACAGAACGCCTATCTTCCTCTATCTTCGAGCGGCTCACTAGGCATGGGAGAGGGCGGAGATGGGCGGAGCCAACAAGCTGGTGCGTTCTCTTAACGTCGATGCTCGATCGACAGGAGCACAGGAGGACCTCGGACCTTATTTCCGTTCTGTTGAGACACTCGCGTCAAGTTGAGAAGGACGGAAGGTGGACGGGAATCGCGTTCTCGAAGGTTTGGAGGTTCGCGGCTGCCCAGTGGTCTGGATGCGTTGGATGCCCAGCTGCTTGGTGAGTTACCCGTTCGCAGTTAGCTTCGGGCTTCACACCGAGTCCCAGAAGATTTCAAGTCTGCGTCTAGAACCCAACACCATATCGTAACAGTGGTTGGCAACCCAAGCGCGATCATTGACATCTCGGAGAGTGCCAATATAGTGTTAGGTTACGGGGGCGTCCGTTCCGCCAGCACAGGTCAGCTCATGACCGGCTTTCGACTTACCTCCGATGTCTACACTCCAACGTCGCGTGCAATACTGACGTGCGCTAGCGATGTCTTCAGTTGACCGGTGACCCCGCAGCCTCTCGTAAGTATCCCAGGTCAGACAGACGGTGAGTAAGGTCCCTCGCGTCAAAGTGGTCTGCAATTTTCTGATTTAATACAGTCCTCCGGACCTCGCAGCCCTCTTTGCGCACATCATCGCGCGTCCGAGCGGCGAAGTTGGTAGACGCGGGGTATGGTAGCATGGAGGTTCTGATGGCATTCCACTGATACCGGCAACCTTCAACCATCAAGCGCTAAATTCTGCTCTGTTCCTGACGTCCTTCCTCCATGCATGCAACCCCGCGAGCTGTGGCTCTTCTCTCTGCAGAAGATGCGCAACCTTGTTTGTAGTCTAGATTGCGCCGTTGTCTCGAAGGCCCGCCCACGCAACCCGTATTCCGCGGTCACCTCGGGGAGGATGCGCATGACCAGTGAGCGTCGCCACATTACGCGCGGAACCGCTTCCCAGTGCGCCCACAAACGCACGCCTTCCGCCCTATCTCGTGAAAGCGTTAGCGAGGCCCACCGGCAATTGAAATACCAAGCGAGGGGCCTGGTCTTGCCATCTTACTCACTGGCACCTTCGAGGGTAACCCACGCCAGCGCTCATCTGTGGGAGTCTCAACGTGCGCTTCATTGGCAGGGCCCCGCCCTGACGAAGCGGCCTCTCCGGTGAGTGTGTCCCGCCGGCTCGTGCTTGTGCGTGCTTCCAAACGCATGCGTACAGGTACTTCAGGGTTAATAATGGAAGAACGTGCGGGGTGTGAATGCAGGGACGAAGCTGGCTAGCTGCCCCGTACTTACCCGAGCCCAGCCCCGATAGAGCGCGGCAGCGACTCCCCCGGATGGCCAACAGATGTTCTGCTTCGGCTCGGCGGCGTCCTGCATGAGACGAAGCGAGGACGACGCCGCGACTCCGCGACTTCTCGGGGCGTCAATCTCTGATCCCGCGCACCAGTCGCGTCTGGTGTATAAGAACGTCCCGCGCGCACCCCGAAACGCCAACTCCCCCTCCCCGGAGCCCACCTCCGAGTCCGCCCTGCCTAAGCTTTCCTATCCAACTGCAGCTATACCAACATGTCGGCAAACACCTCGTCCTCGTTCACGCGAGCGATCATGAGCCAGCCGGTCTGGTTGCTGCCCGTCCTCTCATTACTCCTTGTTACATTTGTCAAGTATACCCAAGGCCGTCGCTCCCTCAAGGGGCTCCGGTTACCCCCTGGGCCGAAACCTCTTCCCATTATTGGGAACGCTCTTGATGTCCCTACGACGGACATGGGGGCGAAGTTCCGCGAGATGACTCAAAAGCATGGTGCGTACCTAGTGTAGTCGTCCTTGCCTTGAGTGTGCGTATGCTGATCCGTATTCTCTCCAGGTGATGTCGTGTACCTCGACGCTCTCGGCCAACCCATGATCATCCTCGGCTCACACGAAGCAGCGAACGAGCTGCTCGAGAAGCGCTCTGCCAACTACTCCGACCGGATTTCTTCCGTGATGAGGCTGATGTGCGTCACCTCCCTGTTAACTCACCCGCCACCGCTGATCGACCCTGCCACAGTTCGGGATGGGAGTGGACGTTCGTGTTGATGCCTTACGGCCAGGCGTGGCGCCAGCGCCGCAAGGAGATGCACCAGTTCATGCACCCCAACACCGTCGCCCAGTACCAGCCTCTCCAGCAGCGCGAGGCCGTCAAGTTCCTCCACCGCCTCCTTGCGCAGCCGGAAGCCTTCTTGCACCACGTCCGACAGTAAGGTTGTTTTCGACAGGCGTGTGATCGCATCACTCACCGCACGACAGCTCTTTCGGCTCGACGATCATGCGGGTCTCGTACGGAATCGAAGTCGCGGAAGAGAACGACCCCTATGTTGCTGCTGTCGAGGAGGGCGTCGCTACCTTCAACGAGGCGTTTGTGCCCGGCGCCTTCCTCGTCGAGACGTTCCCGAGCCTGCGCCACATTCCCAGCTGGTTCCCGGGTGGTGGTTTCAAGCGTACCGCGGCCAAGTGGAAGGAGATCGCTCACAATATGCGTGACGCACCCTTCAAGAAGACGCTTGAGGCTATTGTAAGTTGCAGCTGTACCGGTCTTTCCACACTTCGCCGTGTACTGATAGTGTGCATTTTGTAGAAGAAGGGCACGGCTGAACCCTCCATTGCCTCTACACTCATGGAATTCGCGGAGCGCAAAGAGGGTGAAGAGTACGAGCACGGCAAGATCATCGCCCGCGACGTCTCCGCTCTGGCCTACGCCGGTATGCCGTAACGTTGCTATCTTGCGCACACTTTCACTCACGCTCGTTTTGCGTTACCAGCTGGTGCTGACACGGTATGATCGTCTCTATCCCTGAATGGGTGCAAGTTCTGACATCGAACTCGCAGACTATTTCCACGGTTCAGACGTTCTTCATGGCCATGGCATGTTACCCGGAAGTCCAGTTGAAGGCGCGCGCAGAGCTTGATGCCGTCGTCGGCCCGAACCGTCTCCCCAACTTTGACGACCGCGACTCCCTTCCCTACCTTACCGCTGTCGCCAAGGAGTGCCTGCGCTGGCAATCCGTCGTCCCTCTCGGCATCCCCCACCGCTCGCTTGCTGACGACGAGTACAAGGGCTACTTCATCCCTGCTGGCTCTGCCGTCATCGCGAACCTTTGGTGCGGGTGCCCCTAAGCGGTTGTGTGTACGTGAGAGTTTGCTAAATTTGCTCCACAGGGCGTTCTCGCGTGACCCGCGCATGTACCCCGACCCGGAGCGCTTCAACCCGGAGCGTTTCCTCAAGGATGGGAAGATTAACCCTGCGGTGCAGGACCCGAACACCTTTGTGTTTGGCTACGGGCGCAGGCAAGTCCCCTGCTCGTGCCCCACCGAACAGTGCGTTAATGTTAAGTGCCCCATAGGATTTGCCCTGGCCGTCACTTCGCGGAGGCTTCGCTGTTCATAATGATCGCATCCGTCCTGCACACCCTCGCCATTGACCAAGCCGTCGACGAGCACGGCAACACCATCCAGCCCGTGGCTAAGATGACCTACGGCGTCATCCAGTGAGTGTCCTTCCTCCTTCTGCTTCATAGATTGCATGCTGACATTCGACACCAGATACCCCGCACCATTCCCCTGTACCATCAAGCCCAGGTCTGCGGCCGCGGCGTCACTTATATACCAGGGCATGAAGGAAGCCATCTGAGTGGCCCCACGCCCCCATCGTATATAGTGTGTTGTCTTGGTTATGAGTCTTGTCGGACCGTGTACGTTCCGCCATTACCCCCGGCTTGACGCGGGATACCCCCTGTCCGTCGAAACAAATGAAATCTTGTGCTGTTGAACTCTCCAACCCCCGTGTGTGCCAGGGCAGTGGGCAGTGTGGTCTTCGCTCAAGGGACTAAGAATACGGGCCATAGCGTGTCAGTCTCCGTGCAACGTTTTCGAGTCCGCAAAGCTTGCCATCCGGGACTGCGGCGCCACGAGGTCCGCACTACGCCCTCGCAGATGGGCGGGTATCCACTTCCAGGCTACTTGGCAGGAGGCCGTTGGCAGATCTTGCGACGCTCGGACAGCCCATCTTCGCTCTGGGTTTGTCATAGGCCGCGGCGTCCGCTATGCTGGTCGCGCGCTCCGCAAACCACCGGGCGGTTGGGCCTTCTTGATCATGCACGGTACCAGGTCATGGAAGAGTGGTGCACCGAGCATCTGCCAACGCGTGCTCTATACTGGTACACTGGCAAACGCCTTGGCTGACGAGCACAATTACGAGCTGGCCGCCTGTCGGCTGAGGATACGGCCGACGCGGAGGCTGGGAGTCCGGGATGTTATCTACCGGTGACCGCATGTTTTTATAGAGCGACACGAAGCCCGTATCTGGGGTAATGACCACAGTGGTGTCTGCTGAGCCTGTTCCGGTCTCGAGGGCACAGTACACACACAAAGTGCCTCCGCCGATGCAACCTGAAGACGGACGCGGGACAGGAATATAGTGTCGTAAATGTTTTCCATACATTGAGAGAGAACCGCTTCATGCCTGACGGCCCTCGAGACCAAAGTGCGGATGTCAACGGATGTTCCTGGAACGTGAGTGAGGTCAGCGTGGTGTGATTCAACCTTCCAACGACTTACTATCAAGGCGGATGTTAATATGCAACGTTCATAGTCCTTCCTAATATCGAGACGATCTGTTCAAGGTGAGTATCTATGAAGAACGTGCGGTTCAGGACCTTGTCGACCACTGGGCGTTAAAGGATTCGAGTCGAAAAGGGTTGATGGGAAGGATGCTTCCGCCAGATGCTAAGTCGTCACCGGCATACGCTCTACGCATTAATCGTAGTAAGAGAACTTACGCTATAAGCTATACCGTGGCTGTACTATACAGCCTTCAAAGGACGAGGGTGGCGTCGGCTGTTTCCCATTGTACCCACCCCACCTAGACTGTAGGTCATGATATGGCTGCAGACAATGAACGACAGACCACCTGCGACAAGCGAGTCCTGCCCATTGTGGTAACATCAGATAGCTTTTCGGGTGATCTTTGACCGCCTCCACTCACCATGGAAGTAGGACCAAGCGCAGCATGGGCGCCGTGGTGCATGTTTGGTTTCTCTTTGTCCGACCCGCTATGCAATGTCGCAATTGGACGTCCAAGTCCGTGGCTAAACCGCAGCGCTATATATAAACAAACCCTCGCGCCTCCGATTGCCTACCATCTGCGCTCTCAACCTCTACAACTCAGTCCTAGACGACCGACAGTGAAATGTCGCAACGCTGCGAAACCACCCAGGAAGCACTCGCGCCACACGGCCCCCACGATAAAGCGGGCATCGCACGCACCTACACTGCACCTCCCGCAACTCATGACCCCACCACGTCTCCCGGGACTGGCACCAATGAGCACGAAACGATCCCCTTGGAGAAGTTCCGCGATGTACTCCGCGAACCCTTCCATTACAGCCTCATGCATCCCGAGATGCTGCCGCTGACGAAGAAGATATACCTCCAGTGGCTGGGCTTGGGGCCGCCGCGGATGGTAGTCATGGCGGACTCGGACACGATCCCCGCGCAGGAGCAACAACAACCATCCGTGCCCCCGGACATCCTGGGACAGCAGTTCTTCGCGGAGCTCACCGCCGCGGGTGACTTGGATGTAGAGCACAGTAGTCGTGGGCGCAAACGTCCGCTTTCCCCGCCTGCCGCGAGGCACGAGGAGGGCATGCCATGCGGCGACCACCCACTGACTAACAAGGAGCCCGCGCTGCTCTACGACTCCTTGGCGCAGGTAGTCAAGAACACCCAGTGGACCACGTCCCAGGCAGACGACGTCATTCATCCGGGTTCGGCCACCAACCGGAGCAGGAGGCCCCCGGCGCCTATTGGAGCTGAGGTGCGGCCCTCCAGGTCGCGGTCGCGGTCGCCGAACATCCCCTGCGGGTCATTCGGCCTGCCCCGCTACGATCCGAGGTCGCTCTCCGACCCACTGGAGCACGTCTTCAAGAGTACTCAGTGGTCCACGTCGCAAGACGACGTCATTCAAGCTGGTGCAGACGTCGATAAGAGCAGGAGGCCCTTGCCCCCGATTGGAGCAGAAGTGCGGCCTCCTCAATCGCGGTCGCAGTCGCATAAGATCTCGGGCGGGTCTGTCCTCGTACCGCACTACCAACCGGAGCCGCTCCCTGCGTACTCGCCCGATGACGACGAGGACTACGACGAGGGCGAGCTTCCGTGTGGGTATGAACGGCAGCCCACGATGCTGGATATGGCCGAGCGCGGCGAATGGTTGCGGACGCCGCTGGGCCATCCTATCGAGTATGGGGAGATGACGGGGACGGGATATACGCCGGGGCCGCGAGAGTCAGCGTTTCCGCCGACGGGTCATAATCACGGTAGGGCGAGCAGCTGGGGATCTGAGGATTAGGTGAACTTGCAGGGTACAAGGCTCCCCTAGCATCAAGGCGTACCTGCCATTTAGTGTAGTTGTCTCCGATGTGATCTCAATGAATGGATGTGAATTGATGGACGAAAGATCATTCACATCAGCTTGTTGTACATTTAATGTGTGTTGCTTCTTCCCAATTGGATACTATGTAGCAGGGGTCACCTCCCATGGCTTCTTGGGAGGAGCAACCGTCGACTCGCTTGGCGCAGCTGACTGGAGTACATCTCGTCAGTGCGTGGCGCAGCGCAGAATAAAAGTTAGCTGGCGCACGCTCAAGACGTTCGGAATTGTCTTGTTGTTCGGGATCTCATCCGTACGGCCCTGTTCGATCAGCGCCTTCAGCTGCGCGAACGACAGCATCTGTGGTTCTTCTGCGTCGCTGGTAGGTACCGGTATCGCCACTGGCGCCACCGAAGCAGCTGACTGCGATTCTTCAGATCGCGTCGCTGATAGGCTCTGTCTCAACAGTCGAGCATCCTCGACCGTGAGGGAAGATCCCGTCAAACTGGAAAGCATGCTAGTAAGTGACGTGTGTGTTTAAGAACGCCAGAAACAGCACACACTGGTTGAAGTAGAACACCTCGGAGCGCAGGAGGATATCCGCTTTCTCGTCTTCCGACTTGCCATCTAGCGCACCGCTGGCCGTTATCCCGGCGATGCCTTGCTTGATAGCTCCTATGTAAGCCATTCGCGCGACATACATGGCTCCGTCGCAGCGCACCTGGTACTCCGGATCGTTCGCGAATTGATAGGTCGCAAATGCAACATCAGATGGAGGAAAAGGTCCTGTATATGCTGAATCCATAGAGGACCAAGTGTGCGTTGCTATAACGCAGCTATGATGGAAGTGGTGAGGCGAGGGGCAAGGAGGAGCAGGGGGATCGAATTCAGAAGCAAACACTCTTAGGTGGCTATGCTCGGCATTGTCCGGCCATGCATATATGCTGAATTTCGGGATTTTCTCTCGCCGTGTCAACCTCACATTCTTCCATAACCGACAGAAAACATCGCGATCCCTTGCGATTCACATTCTCGAGTACCCTTCGTGGGCGAAGCAGCATCGTCGCCAGACGGCACCTTCGGACACGCGCACCGGTATACCCTCTCAGGCGAGTGCGTGAATTAATACTGATCAAGGAATTTACTGACATCCCCGCACTGGACAGAGCGCACACGCTGCGCCGCCTGCACGAATCAAGGATCGCGCGGATTCGCTCCCGCGGTACCACTGATCCCTCAGGTCAACCCTTCATCGCTCGCACTCAAGAGTATCCCGCCCGGAGCTGCACATTGGATCTTGACATGCAGCATTTGGGAGACTGTACGGGGCAGGTGCGAACAGAAAACACCGGCGCGACTTCCTCTTCCCCACGCTCGACATGAATGGCCTCGTTCCGCAGCCCGGGCGTGCTTGACGCCCAGATGCTTTCGAAGGCTAGAGGAGATGTGATGCGGTACCCATTGTACCAGTATACGTACCTTGCGTCGGTATGAAAATGCCCGTGGATAGCCACGTCAAAGGTTGAAGAGGTGAGCCCAGTCACGGCGTTGAAGCATCACCGGTTGTTACACCATTCACCGAGTATCGCTGATCTACTGGATATTTCCAGATCCTGGATATATAAGACCTTGTATGTCCGTTCGTGCCGGTGAATTACAGATAATAGCCCGATCCGCGAGTTTGAAGTTGCTGACAAAAACGCAGGTGAATGGTCCGGAAGCGGCGAGGCTTCGACTTTCACGGCGTACGGGCATATGCGGCTGTGCAGTCGCATTGCCGGTGCCGTGCAGCGAGTGAACGCGTACTCGGCATCTCTCTCTTCTGTCCCTCACACCGTGCAGTACACCGAGCGACGCGTACGCATTCCAGGGACATCGAGACACGTACGTCTCCGCCTCCGGAGTGCTGTCAATCGATCAGCATATAAGGGCATGGGAGGGCGGTAGAGATTCGAACACAGATCCAGCAAGTCCCTCAGCACTGAGACAATGCTTTCGCTCGTTCAGACTGCCTTGGCCTCCTTCGCAGGCCTCATAGTCCTTGCTCTCTGGAAGATATGGCCCATGCTCTCTCGGGCGTATACCTCGCCCCTCAGGAACCTCCCCGGACCGCCCAGTCCCAGCTGGATCTATGGGAACATCAAGGCGATTCAAGACGAGGACAACTCCGTCCCCCAAGAACGCTGGGCTGCAGAGTATGGGCCCGTGATCTCCTACAAGGGTTTCTTCGGTGTAAGAAGAAGAGTCTTTTGGCGATCAAACTCATGGCTGAACTCGGGACTCTTTGTAGCTTAGCCGCCTATGGACGACGGACACTCGCGCGCTCAATCATATTCTCACACACTCGACAGACTACCAGAAGTCGGAGGCGGCGCGCAGGAATGTGGCAAAAATACTTGGGAAAGGTTAGTAACGAACACTGCTCAAGAAACGAGCTCGAGTGCAGCGCCTCCGGGCCAGTCCGCATCAGCGCCCCCTGAGCTAGAGCTCGTTTTCGACGCGCGTTTGTTAATTGTGAGACTAACACTTTTTCTTGCTCTCAGGTGTCCTCTTCACCGAAGGTATGCATCAATAATCTCATACAACGATCATGTTACCGAACTCTATACGCCCCTAGGGGACCAACACAGACAACAGGTATATTTCTCGGTTTATTCTCGTCTTCGCTATATGCTAAATCAAGACTTTAGAGGCGCATAATGGTAGGGAACACGACCTTCGACATATGATATGCGCGTGATCCTAATGCAGGTTGTCTTGCAGAACCCGGCCTTCGGCCCTGCGCAAATCCGCGAACTGACTCCGATCTTCGTTGAGAAAGCCGCAGAGGTGCGTACACCATACTAATCATTCGAACAGATCTGAACCAACGTCAACAATTGCGCAGCTTCGAGACGTCTGGGATGCTCAACTTGCAGCAGACGGCTCGCCGACGCGCATCGAGGTCCTCTCAGGCCTAAGCAAGATGACACTTGACGTCATCGGCCTTGCTGGTACGCAGACCCCATGGCATGGTTCACTATCTACACCTTTCGCCGACCGTGACTGGTCTAGGCTTCAACTACAACTTCAACTCCTTGAGCGGCAAGCCGAACGAACTGAACGCGGCATTCCAAGAAGTGCTCAACCCGGGCGCCAACTTCACGATCTTCACGTTCCTCAAGAACGTGTTCCCCGCCCTCGACATCTTCGTGAGTGTTCTGGAGCCTTCCGAATACTCGTGCTGAACAGTGTCTGCCAGCCCGACGAGCGCGCGAAGCGTTTAGACCATGCGCAGGACGTCATGCGCCGCATCGGCCTCCAGCTCATCGAGGAGAAGAAGGCGCAGATCGCGCGTGAGATGTCCGAGGGCAAGAGCGGCGGCGTTGAGCGGAAGGATATCCAAGGGCGGGATCTGCTCACGCTGCTTATGAAGGCGAACATGGCGACGGACATCCCCGAGAACCAGAGGCTCTCGCACGAAGACGTGCTGGCTCGTGAGCTGTCTTGAACTATCATGGATTATTCTTTCCTGACGCTGTTGCGCAGAGGTTCCGACGTACGCATATGCACGCTATGTGGAGCGTGCGCGCACTCATGTTTATTGACAGGTTCCTTCTCGCCGGCCACGAAACGACTAGCACTGCCACGATGTGGTGCCTGTATGCACTCACACAGGCCCCCGATGTACAGAAGAAGCTCCGTGACGAGTTGTTCACCCTACAGACCGAAGCCCCCACGATGGACGAACTCAACGGCCTCCCGTACCTCGACGCGGTCGTCCGCGAAACCCTGCGCATCCATGCGCCGGTCCCCACGACGATGCGCGTCGCCACAAAGGACGACGTGATCCCGATCAGCGAGCCGTTCGTCGACCGGCACGGGAAGGTACAAGACAGCATCCACATCTCAAAGGGCAGTCCGATCATCATCCCCGTGCTGTCCCTAAACCGATCGACGGAGCTGTGGGGCGCGGACGCGCTCGAATTCAAGTGAGTCCTTGCTATGGTGTTTACCTTTTCGTCGAATCTAACACGTGTCGTAGGCCTGAGCGCTGGATTGACCCCCCGGAGACGATCTCAGGAATCCCTGGGGTATGGGGCCATATTCTTTCCTTCCTCGGTGGCCCCCGCGCGTGCATCGGGTACCGCTTTTCCCTCGTCGAGTACGTTGTATGCGACATGCGCATTAGGCCCGTTACTCACATCTATCATCTAGGATGAAAGCCTTGCTCTTCGAACTTGTGCGCGCGTTCGAGTTCGAGCTCGCCGTGCCGGCAAGCGACATCCAGAAGAAGACGAGCATTGTGCAGAGGCCGCTCCTCCGCAGCGCGCCCGAGCAGGGCAGCCAGATGCCGCTGCTCGTCCGGAGGTTCAAGCGCGCCCAGTGATGCGGACGCGGCGGGCGTTCGGTAGACACGTGTTGTGTAAGCGCTGCAATATATCTGTGCGGCATGGAATGTACCGGATAGAACGGATTGGTATGGGGGTGGAGTAGGGCTATATTCCCGGACACGCCAGTGTTCTGGCAAAGAGCTCCTACAAGGCTCTGTGCGCATACCCGCCCCGGGTCCGTGCGCGACTGTCACGATCGACGGCAAACTACGTCTTCGAATACCAACCCCTCGTCGCTCGGTCCCCCGGGAGACCCGGCCTCATGTATCGCCCAAACGACGTGTCCGGGTGGCGAGACTGCGCGCAGACCGTGTTCGTGCAGTCTCGGAAGAGGGGCGTGTACCAGTATGTGGGTGAATACGCGCTGTCGCGCGCGCCGCCACTCTCCGTGGCAGAGTTCAAGACGTGGACGCCTAAGGTGGGGTTTCCATTTGTAGATCCGCGCCGCTCGGCCGTACAGCCGACCCGGACTGATATCGTGTGGACTAGTTGAAGAAGACGTGGGCGACGTGCATCTGCGATCGCGCCAAGTTCCACGAGATATGGGCGAGAGTCGTCCTGCGCGACCGCTTCGGCCGGGCACCAACAGCACAGGAGATGAAGACCGAGATCGAGGCTCGTACGGCAAGGCAGATGGCTACTCGGGATGCTGTTGGCTCAAGCAAAGAAAAGAGGAAGTCGATTTATGATCCCACAGACGTCGAGAAGATCGTCAAGGCGTACGAGGACGGCGACGAGGTGCGTTCAAGTTCCGTCTCGCAAATTCCATCATTGCGACTTGTATCTGATGACCTCACGTTTTTCTTTCGCTCAGGAAATGGGCGTGTGGAACATGGTATGCGTCGGCTTTGACGTACAGCTCTTGGAAGGCATACTGCAGGACAGGATCTTGCAGGCTCCACCGATACGTAACATTCCGGCGGAAAATAGTCTTGTGGAAGGACATAACTGCGCTTGAACCCCCGGATCGAACGAAGGTGTTCATAGTATCGAGTATGGGACGAAAGGTCGGGATCGCACATGGCGGAAGTTGGCCATGGGCCGCCAGATCAGCTCGGAGGTGCTCAGTGGAAATATCACGGTTCAGAGGATCAGCTCAGGGCAAGGGTTATTACGTTAATATACGCAGCTAATAAGCGACTATGTCTCCTTTAATGCGAGCCTCTCGTATGTCTGCATATTGAATAGCTGATAGAAGGGAGCAAAAGTGCGAAGTCAACTTAGCACGAGTCGCACGCCGCGATCCTGTGGACCTGTGTGGCTGTGTTCGGCTTTGCCCGGCCGCTGTCCGCGCTGCCGCAGTGCACTCCAGCACTCTGCCTCCTTGTCCTATACTATCCGCCTCATGATGCGTATGTTTCTGTTCCATCTACAAACAGGTTGACACCACATCCGAAGACTCGCATGCGCATGGTATCATCCCTAAAACTCCAGTCACCGGGAAAGAAGCCCGACTCGCTCGAACACATCGCGCGCCGACAACTCCGCTGTACAACCCACTGAACCTTGAATTCTGATTCCTACAGCACCCTCTATCGCGTCGTCTACAGTCATGGATTCCAAGCTATACAACGATCCTGCGGCTCTGGAGTTCCGGATACAGCACTACAAGGCGCACGTGAAGAAACAGGCGACGCAGATCGTGACTCTGGAGGGCAGGGTCGTCGACCTGGAGGGGAAGATCGCGTATCTGCAGGAAGCCCTGGCGCAGGAGAGGCAGAGGCAGCCGACTGTGTCACTAGTGACAACCTCACAATCTCCTGGAGAACTTCAGGCGGCGTCGTCGGGGAGTAACGAGCCGCCGCATGGTGCGCTGAAGCAAGGGGATTCTCCTTTCAAGGTGAGTGTACCCCGAGAGACGCAGAGAAGTGTCGTTCATGACACGGCGCGACCCTGTAGCCTCCCCCGACTGCATACAGGGCGCGACCATACACCCCTGCGCTATCCCATACGGGGAGTGCCGACGATCCCTTCGTATTGGACGGTGAAGACGACGTCATTACCGCTCCACCTGTCGCGTCGAGTAGCTCTGCCGCTCATGAGCCGGTCAGTAGTGTTCGAGCTGTTATTCGTCGTCAGAGCGGTCTATCGCTGAATACTCAATGTGTTTGATCACGTAGGTGTCATCACAGAAGCGCAAAGCGCGCCTTTCACCCGCACCCCTCCCAGATTCCCTTTCGTCATTATCAGTATGGCCTCCGTTTGAGAGCCCGCGGAAGAAGGTGAAGGTCTGGGTCCAGATTCCCAAGACCGTCAAGCGCATCTCGGAAGTCGCACGTGTATCCGTGGCTCCCAAACAACCAGAGACCGCGGAGCAATCCGGCGGGTCCGCCGTTGCACCCCCAGACTCCTGGGAAAGGTCCGTCTCACCCATGTCAGACCTGACCACTCCGCCTGTGAGCCCTGCCCCAGTGGAGGTCACTCTCGATGACGAGAACACTCTGTCGTCCGCCGAGTTCGGGTCGAATCAGCGATCCCGTTCGTTCTCGAGAGAATTGTCCTACGCCGACGCTCTTGATGCTTCGTCCGTCCCCGCTCGTGCGACTGCAGAGAAGGCGCCGCGTTTCGATCAGGTCGCCGAAGAAAGACCACCTTCGAGCCACACCCAAGCTTCGGGTACATTCGCCGTTCCTGGGTCTCACCACACTGGCAATCCTGAGCCAATTGACGTCCTCGACTCGTCATCTGCGAGATTGTCTTCTCCCGCGCCTGCGCGAGGAAAGGAGAGTCGTGGACGGGCGCTGCACAAGGCGAGTCAGAGATTTCCTGCTCGCGAAGGGGCTCGCTGACGTGCCCGTACCTGATAGAGTGCACATCCTCGTCGCCCGCCTTCTCCTGCCCCCATTGCGTCATCTAGTCGCGTTGGCCCGCAGCCTGCTGAAAATGGAGTCCCGCGAATCAGGGATCGCGTGGATCCCCTTCCGCGGTACCAGATCCCCCACGTCGACCCTTCCTTGCTCGCGCTCAGAGTGTCTCGTACAGAATTGAACAAGGGACACTGGAGCGTTCCGTCAAACAAACTAGCCGAGAAAAGCGGGAACAAAGCGAGTCCCCGCGATTTTCTCTTTCCCACCCTCGACAAAAACCCGTTTCTGCCACAGTCCCCCGGGAAGCCTGGGCTCCTGTATCGCGCTAATGATGCGTACAAGTGGAAAGGGGACGTACAAACTGTCCTTGTCCAGCGGGAATCGGCCAAGCACGAGTACGTCGGGGAGTACAAGCTGACACGCGCGCCATCACTCTCAGCGGCGGAGTACAGGACATGGTCGCCCGGGGTAGGCCATTGCACTAGCCTCTGTGGGAGACGGAAACTCATATAATGCGTATCAGGTGAAAAATACGTGGGCGAGGGCCATCTGCACTCAGGCGAAGTTCAGCGACATACGGGCAAGGGTCACCCTGCGCGACCGCCTAAGCCGGATGCCCACCTCACAAGAGCTCCAAAGCGAGATCAAGGCTGCCAAGGGAATAAACCCGCCCAAAACGCTAGAGGAAAAGCAGAAAGCTCGGGAGAAGAGATTGAAAGATATGGAGAAGATCATCAAGGCGTATGAGGACGGCAACGAGGTGCGTCTCCCCGCTTCCACCACGATGCTTACATGGAATCATTAAACCGCGATTACTGCTGTTTAGATCATAGCCGTATGGAATATGGTTTGCGTCGGCTTCGACGCGCACGTCTTGAACACTATCCGGAATGACAAAGTGGCGAAGAAGAGTTGAAGTGAAGCACTCTCGTCACGACGGGCGTGCATGGAAACGGGCGATGGACCATCTTTTCTCATACGACTACTCTCTCTGTGGTAGTTTATAGTCACACGTCCTGCAATGTACATACACTTGGGAGCTTTGGACGTATGCGTGGATTGTCGTGGTCTGATCAACACTGCGCGGTATACAGCGCTTAGCGCTCCGTTAGATGGGCGCTTTCTGCCGCAGGCTCTCACTCCCACTCCCACCACCAACTCGAAACTCGAACTGCTACTTTCGGCTTCGGCTTCATACTACGACACTTGCGGCTTCCCTATCTGCGTATATCTACTGGAACTGATACATGGACGGGTTCTCAGATAGACCTACTCTCGTGACGGGTGGGACGAAAAGGACCACAACCGCGGCAGCGAGCCGGACACGGCAAGCTCAGAGCCCTTAGATGTCGGCGCCATAGGCTGAGAAACACTCGCCATCCACCGTGTAAACACAATTAGAACGCCGCACCTGTACTACGTATGAGCGGGATATAAAAACTTGACCTCAAAAAAAAAAGACAACATCACGGAGGGGCGCTTGCGCATCCGAGTCGTCCCTGCCAAATTCCTGATTCACACCCACCCAGTGTAATCCATATCCCGCGCTATCGAGGCTCCTTGCGCAGACGACAGCTGAGGCGGGCGAACATTGCGATTCTATACCAGAGAGACATCGGGGCTGGCAGAGGCCGAGTTCGTTACGTATGCAGGTGCGGATGGAACTCGGGCATCTTTGACCTGAGTATGCTGCGGGCAAGGATGTAGCGCCTGTCAGTGCGCGGTGGACTTCGCGCCGACTCGAAGAACTTACTGTGGCTGAACTGTGAACAGCACAAACCCTCATCCCGGTGAGCCAGCGACGTACACAGGACACGTTCACCCGTTGGCCGGACCGAAGCATTGGTCGCGGCCCAACGTGGTCCGCCGCACGGCCACAGCACACGTTCAGACACGGCTAGGAGGATAGTGGTTTGACAGAACTTGAACACCATGCATTCGAGGCGAGGACGCTCGGCTCGATGTTCCGACAGCTGAGCGCTCAGCGCTCATACCTCTTCTCCTGTCAGCCACCATCCACCCAGGCTATGCATGCGCGCCGAGTCCCGCCTTTCCAAATACCAGGGAATTTCAACCGGCTTCGGCAGACAGCCTGGGACGGTTGGTCTGCGTATGCACACCTATAGGCAAGCTATGCATTGCATTATATGTACAGGACCGGGTCGAGGTTCCGGAGGCTGCGACAGTAAGTACTATTCCCGGTCTGCTATCTATTTCCTGGGAGTAACCGATGTGGCTATAGATGCTTACTGAGAGAGGTATGCAGATGTCTCGTTTAAACTCTACTTGTCGATCGCTGATACGCTTATGCATAGTTCATATCAGACTCACACTTTTGTTGAGTTCAGTGCAACGAGACTCGGACGCCCACCTTCGGTCCGACACACCATTCTGTATGACCCGCAGTACGTTGATTGTAAAGGACAGGGAAACGTGCAGAATCATAGCATTTGCGGCGGTGAACGAAGCGGCGAGGCTGGCGTTAATTTGGCTGCGGGGAAGGTGCTCATTTGGCTTCGGATTTCGGGCCTGTTGCCGATATTAACACGTTGTAACAGATATATGACGCTGTCCTCGATGAGACGTTGAAGGCGTACCCAGTCCTATCCTCTCGTCCCGACCGTTGAATCAAGCACTCACATCCTCCGCAAGTGATCGGTGAGATTGATTATATTGGTCATCTGTGGTGTCTAAGATATGTCCCTGACTCCATGCCCTAGCATTGTCCGCATGCCACGCTTCCTCAATACGACCTCTGGCGAGTTCGAATGGCATAATGACCCAAGTCAAGTTTCCTACGCAATCATATCTCATACCTGGCGCCCTGAAGACGCGGGTGGCGAGCAGTCCTACGAGGATATCCGAAAGCTACAAACTGCTGTCCAGCAGCTCCGGAGGGAAGCCCAGGCGTCCACCACTTCCTCATCTCATCCTGCACCCATCATCATCGATACCCTCCAGACTATATTCACCCATCCTGACCTATCGGAAAAGATAAAGGGGGTATGCAAAATCGCGCGGCAGGCCGGGTACGAGCTCTTATGGCTCGACTCCTGCTGCATCGACAAAACGAGCAGCGCGGAGCTCTCGGAAGCTATCAACTCGATGTTCGAGTGGTACAGGCTTGCGGACGTCTGCTACGTCTACCTTGAAGACGTTCACGAAGGCGACAACCTCATGGATGACCGGTCTGAGTTCTCGCAGAGTAGGTGGCACAAACGGGGATGGACCCTGCAAGAGCTTATCGCGCCGGAGCGGGTAGTGTTCCTGTCCGTCTCGTGGAGCTATCTCGGGACGAGGATGGGGCTCGCTTCCACACTTGCGCAGATTACTGGGATTGACTTCGACATCTTGACCGGGCGCGCGACCATGCACTCTGCGAGCGTCGCGCGGAGGATGGCGTGGGCCGCGAAGCGCGAGACGACTCGCGTCGAGGACCGTGCATATTGCCTCATGGGTATCTTCAACATCCATATGTCCCCGATCTACGGCGAAGGCCTCAACGCTTTTCTCCGCCTCCAGGAGGCAATCATCAGGACGATCCCTGACCAGAGCGTCTTCACGTGGGGTCGAAGTTGCACTCTGACATCCGTCAACTCATCCTCGTCGTTCGTCTGGAGAGGTCAATCTGCCGCGCCCGGCCTCCTCGCTTCGTGCCCATCGCACTTTGAAGGAGCCCTCGACATCACACCGCTGTCCCCCGCAGCTTTCGCGCGGCACCTAGGGCGGCGAGAAGCAGATGTACCGCCCCTACACTGCATCTTCACGCCGCAAGGGGTGCGCGCTCGGTTTCTCTGCATCGACCTCACGGCGTTACCACAGCTCTTCAGTACTTATACGTCGCGTAGGTGTTGCGAGAAGTGCATGTCGCTTCGTCACGCTCACGCCCATACGCTTGCTCTTCTTCCTTGTAAAGACGCGGATGGTTCGCTCATCGCCCTCCCTCTGTGCCGGAAAACCCCTGCGTCCGGAAACCAGGAGCCTGGTGTCTCATTGATCGCCACTCATTCGGAATGCACAGAGGCACCATTTCACACCGTTCGCCTGGCAACAGAGGCCTTGCTGTCACTGCGTCAATATCTTCTGCCGGCACCCATGGAGATCTCCCTCTTGCGCCACCATTGGAATCCTCCAGCTCCGAAATCCCGTCAAAAGGACCCTACAGCCCGGTTTGGTCCACAGCTTTGGCCCGGAGACAGAGAGAACGGCGCTGTGATACGAGTTGCCCCTCGTTCCGTCGAGGACCTGCGCGCTCTTGGCTTCGTAGCCTCCCCTTTGCAGTGCGAGCGCCGAGAGCACTTCATCCTCGCAGAGACTTCCATCACCTCTATCCCCGAACAACTGCACTCAGGAGCGGAGCCACAACACGAGATCTGTCTGCAGCTCACGCTCGAAACGAATACCAAGCCTCGCTTTCTCCTCTCCCATTTCATCAACTCGCTGGACATTCCCGGTACCTCTCCCCGTGCGAAAATCCCGCGTTCTACGTACCGTCTCGGCGCTGGCACGGGCACCCATCATTCAGGAGATGCAGGGCACGACTACATCACATACTTCCTCCCTGGGCTCTCACCTCCCCGCGTGCTCGCCGACGCGCACTTCCTCATACATGTCGATAGCGACCCAGATACAGGTGCCCTCGGCCTCAGGCTCGTGCGGGTCGGACTGGAGCGCCCCGTGAGGGGTGCGGGTGCTGCCGATGACAACACGCTCTGGGTCTTCATCGAGATGTCCCAGGGGGTTTCGTACCGGCACACCCAATCAGCTTCTGTGGTCGACGGGCAGCCTTCCTACGGGCTGCTCCCTTTCCAGGGGATAGCGACGCGCAATCTACCGGTGATCTCGAACCCCCCGGTCGAAGGAGCGCTTCCCCAGGCATTCATTCCAGTCGAGAAGATAGACGAAATTGCTCATCACAGCAGTTCGAGCCAAATGACTAGTCCACAGGTCAGTGCTCTTCCGTCCTAACAGCTGATGCCTGTGCGAGTTGTCTGACAATGTCATTCAGCGCACGTCTACAGACAGACAGGCTACCCAGGACGAACTGGCGCACGTTCCCAACACTAGCACAAAAAGACGACGGCGCGGTAGTGTCGATGCTGATTTGTCTCATAGGCGTGCGAAGCTCCCGCGTCTAACTTCGCAGCGCGCGATGTCGTCCTTGGGTTTGTCTCCTCTCCTTAGACACCCTCCAGCATTGGCTATTGCTTCGAATGCGCCGGATACCTTTGCAGAGGGTGCCATCCCGCCTGGGAGTGATCATGCTAGCGTCGGTGATGGGGCGCGGAGGTACTACCACAATGTCTCAGTGAGTCGGGCCACACGGGCACAGCGAGTGCCGTGACCTACACGAGAGGAGATGCTGACAGTCGCTACCTATACAGCGCTCGTCTCCTCAAGTGCCCGCTGCTAGCGATGTGGATGTGACCCCAAGTGCCGTCAGTGAAGACTACGTGGCTACATCACAAGTGCGCAAGAATGCCTACATACGGGCAGCAAACACTCCAACGTCCGCTCTGTCAACTCCGAATTCCATGACATATACGCTCCCCTCGGAGAGCGCGGACATATCCTGCCAGATTGCTTCTCTCATGTCGCAAAACGCAGCTCTTGTATCGCAAAACACCACCCTCATGTCGCAGAACACCGTACTGTCTGCTCAAGTGACCGCCATATTTGCGCATCTTGAGGGCACGGCTGCATCCACAGGTACGTCCCCGATCTGCCTCACTCTGCTTCTACGCTGTGGTACCAAATGCGTCGTTAGATCCGCCTCACTCGCTGCAAACCAGCATGCAGACATGATTGAAGATACGTGGACGAATGGTCCGAGCCTGGAGGCAGTTACATACCGCCACTGCCACCTCTCCTGCTCGGGCCGCGCACAGTCTACGAGAGTAATACGGTCTGCCGGCCGCACGGGTTAGGCCGGGCTGTCCATACGGGTTGTGTGGGATCGTCTATGCAGACTCGCGGCTGTACTTCGTGAGTCACAAATACGCCGCCGTCTGTTGACGAAACACTGACAGAGTCTTGGTGACAGAGCGCGCATACTGCGATGGCTGTACCCGTATGTCCCTTCGCACGTCGGGCGAGCCCTACTCCTTCCAAGACTCGAAATCACTGCCTTGTTCGCTCTACTTCCAGCACACATAAACCGGCATACTGCATCCGAACGGTTCGATGCACTATAGGTATTCGCACACAGCGTCGAGCATTGCTACCTTGGTCTTGCGTGTACCAATATATTACATTGTCCCGGATACTAGTATACCACACAACTTGCACGTACTTCTCTAGGAATGTATCGATATGCACTCGGGCAACATTGCCTACAAACGTCTACATGAGCTGCATCAAGTTGGCAAACATCACCCACCAATCCATCCGCAACGTCCGCGGCGAGGGTATTGGGCCGTGCGCAGGTGGGGCGTCAGCCTCGCCGGCTGCGTCTTCGCGCCCAGAGAGGCTCGGGCGCACGCCCGTAGGCTCAGAGGTACTGGCACATGCGTGTTGCAGGTACGTGTCGCGATGTACAAGAGCGCCGCCGCGAAGGTGTGATAGAGGAGTGATACGGACGCGCCGCCGCGAGTGCTGTGATCGCGGTGAAGAGAACCTTCCGTTCGTTCCAGAAGATATCGCCGTGCGTTGGGGCTGAAGGTAAGAACAAGCACGTACAGCACAATCAAGAGGCACCGCATTATGAGGACTTTAGACCGCGTCCTACGGTGGTATTCCGACCTACGCGGGTACGCAGCTCCGAGAACTTTTACCTACACGGCCATAGCATGCGGGCGTGCTTGCTGCAGAAGACGTGTACCGAGACGGGCGGAGCGAATGAACATTGGCTTGGAAGAGAACATGCGGAGCACTCACCTCCGGCAGTGTAAGCGGACAGGTAGCCCATCGCACGCCATAACCCACATTTACTCGATGGCGTATCCATGTCTGAGCGACATTATGTATGAAATTGGGACGTCTCGGCTCCAGAAGCGTGTTACAACGTCGTCGGCCCCGAAGGCGCGTGAGGCACGCGATCGAGGCAGAGAGGCAGCCCTGACTTACCAACTAGTTGTGCGGACTCCGCGCAGTCGACATGGGCGAAGGCGGGGGCAACACGCACGCCCTTCAGATTCGTCCTGCGCCGTCTCATCCCGTAGTGCCGCGTACTGCCACACGGGGCTTTCAAGTAGCAACGAGTTGCGCAGTGCGCGTAGTACTGCGCGGGGACCGTCTGGTCGCGAAGTCGAGAGTCACGGATGGCTCAATCCGGGATGGTCCATTCCTGCGGAGACATAGCAGATCTTTCCCGAGGCTTTGGGAGGTGCAGGGGAGGGGAGCTTTGTGTAGGGATTGACTGAGAACGCGGGGAGCGGCGACCTCTGGCGTCTTGCACTATTCGCTGCAATGATAGAATGAGGGGACTAGATGCCTCTGAGACGTAGGCTCGACGAGCACGGTGAGCAGCAAGGCAGAGTCGGCGTCGCGGTAGTTGCGGACGGGATGCAAGGCAAGTACGAGCGCCTACACGCGTCCTGGGCGATGACGTCAGACGATCCCCGGGCATGCGCGCGACTTCACGCCTCTCACTCACTCTCACTCACTCGGACGGCTGCCACACCTGAGTCTGTCCTCGCCACCCTCTCGCTTACTCTATTCGCACAATCACAAGTCACATGCTGCTCGACATCTGCTCTGCACTATCGACTTCAACAACGACCTGGCAGTAAGACGCTCGCTGGATACCGCCGAGCCCCAAGCTCGACATCTGCACTGGGCTCACTGGCCGCGCTATTCGCATACCGCATACCGAGTGAGTGAGTACAGCATCATGCTGAACTGCGCATCTCGGGCGTGTCTCAGCCATACCGTCAGTTCATCGCTCGCTGCCGGATCCTTCTGCGTCAATCGCGACCCGTGTCCATCGCACACGAGTTCTCTGGATCGCACCACTCGTTCGAGGTCGACAAGACGGGCTCTCGCACGCGTGACGATTTATATTCAGAAGTTGTCCTGGCAGCCGAATCGTTGACCACGGCGGCGCGGCGGGCAGGGCATCGTCTCTGTGGTTGCCCACGGTGAGAATCAGGCCGACCCTCTCCCCGCGCGGCTCAACATGCGCAAGAGCCCGCCGTTGCACGCAGACTCTTCGTATTCGAAGCTTGTACCAGTCACGCTGGGCATGTCGCACGCGGTCCAGCACGCGACAGCTCTGCATCCCCACGTACCTCGCATCAACGAGACAGGAGGAGATAGATCGGCACGCTAACGCGGTAAGTCGTCTCTGCGTACTGTCCAGGATTGCAATGGTCACACCTTCTCATCGTAGCAGCACACCGCCGTCAACGCGCGTAGCCGCGCACTGCAACGTTCAGGTATCGCGCGTATGTTACGCTAGCAGTGCTCTACGGCACCGTCTCGGGCGGACTCTCCCGCCGCTCTCCTCGCCGCGTCCTCAAGCTTCAACGATGCGCTGCCCTCACGCGTGTGGAGCATGACAGTCAGATGTGCTCGACGAGGATCAGCCAAAAAAGTAACGGCAAGACCCCTTCACCTACGCAAGTGTCAAACTACACATCATGCGGCCCCGGCCGTTCGGGTGTCCAGGTTGCGCTTGCGAGCTTCGTCCGCGCGTGACGCGATCTACAAGCACTTGGAGACCTGGAGAACCACACGCAAAACGAGACCTTCAGACGACCGTTCTCAGGAAGCGCATCGTTCCACGCCGCGCACACGCAGACCTTCATGGGCGACGCGCTCACGTCCGCACCCGCCGTGGTTCTCGATCTCGACTTATATGCAAATCCTCCCATGGCTCGAACACCACAACGCAACGCATTCTCGCGCCCTAGTCCCCCACCGGAACCATTGCTCCGCGCTGATTGAGGCTCCTTGCGCAGACGACAGCGGACGCTCACACGCGTTAAGTTTACCAGAGTCACGTCGGCGCGGTCGTAGTGCAGGCCGAGTTCCGTTATACGCTCGGACGCAGGCCTGCCTGACCTGAGGGTGCTGTGGCTCAAGCTAGAGCGTCCCTCATACGGCCGCGCGGGCCTCTGGACGAGACCGCGGTTCCCTCTAAGATGGTACTCGTCGAAGTTGCCCAGGCTGCGTCACGCTCGAGCCATCCCGACGAGGCGAATGTGACAGCCTGAGTGAGCAGGTCGCGAAAGCGTGCAGCGGTAGTAACGAGCGCTTACAGTGGATGCCGGGCTCTCTTCGGGCGATGACGTCAGATGGATCTCGGGAATGCGCACGCATCGCTCTCGCTGCTCACTCAGTGCACTCGGCGCGGACGACCGCATCTCGAGAGGCCTGTCCCCACCACCCTCTCGCTTTCTCTATTGGCACAGTCTAGAGGTTGTATGTTACTGAAGTGCTCAATGTTCGACGTCTGATCCGAACGATGGATATCAACAACGGCCTGGCACTGGCGAAAAACCTGCTCGATACCGCTGGCGTCAAGCTCGAGACAGTGTACACTGACAAGGTCGGCAATAGCTTTTCGAGTCGCATTTTAAGTGAGTGAGTACCGGAGGAAAAGCCCGATATAGATTTTGTGGAACTGAATATCTTTCTCCTCTCCTTCAACCACACCGTCCACACGTCGCTCGCTGTCCGGCCCTTCTGCGTTTATCGGGGCTCGCATTGACCGCCCGCAGCCTCTTCAGATGGCATGGCTATGACACGACTCGTACAAGGTCGACAAGACGGGCTCTCGCAAGCTTCTGGCAGCGGCATCGTTGAACACGGCGGCGCGACGGGCGAGACGTCTCTATTATGGCCCTTGGTGAGTCTCAGGCCGACCGTCTGCTCTAAACCCGTCTCCCTGTGCGGAACGCTTTGGCGCAGATACTTATCTGGCACTATGCACTGGCTCTTCGTCCGCAAATCTGGCGCCAGTTACGATGAGCAGGCTGAGGTCGCACGGTTCAGCGCGCGACAGTCCTACCGCGCGTCATCGAGACAGGCGGAGCTAGATTGGCACGCTGCCCTGGTGAGTCCACCGCTCAGGATTGACGTACTCACAACATCGAGTCGTCACAGTATACCACCGTCAGCGTTCGTAGCATACAACGTTCGAGCACGGCACGTATCGATGCTCCGCGGGCTCAGCGGCACCTTTCGGGCGTATGCTCTGGCCGTTGAGTCTCTGGGACATACCCTGGAACTTCCACGGCATGCATACATCTGTGCTTTTGGGGGTATGCAAGGCAAGTTTGTTCCGCGAGGGCCTGCGGGCAGCATAGCGACATGACACTTTCGCTCGATCAGCGTCACGCGGTGCGCCATGGGGATTCGAACAATCTCACAAGTGCACATCCCTGCGAGTTTCATCAGCACGCGGCACGCCAATGTCAAGTCCTTGGAAATATGGCAAACCACTATGCGGAGCGACACCTTCGCACGACCGGTCCCCAGCAGTGGGGCTTCCATATCGCGCGTACGGAGGCTGCTATGTGCTACCAGTGTGCACCGTTCCAGATCGCGCGTAGAAAGGCCTCCGACTCGGGCGCCGTCTGCGTGTCCGCCGCCACCATGGTCCCCACTCAGCCACTCATGCTCGCGCCGCTAGAACGCCACAATACGACGAATTTTTGTACTCTCCTCGCCCAACTCAGTCGTTCCCCTGTGCTGGTCAAAGCAGCTTGCGTGGACGGCCGCGGAGGCTGACGCTGCGGAGGACGCCGCGCCGGTTGCGCGGCCATAACACACTCAGATCTGTGTCCGTCTTGGTGCTATCGACCACACTTTTTGGTCCTGAGGACGATACAGACACTCATGGGCCCTGCGCCGCCGGCCACGTTTTGGACTACCCTACCACAGTCCTCAATGCTCCGAGCAGTGACACAAGGTGAAGGTGCTACCTAGGTCCGCATGCTTGGTTCAATAATACAGCTACAGCTGTCATTGCGTTTATCGAACATGTAATATACATCTGATAGATCGCGTGAATTGTATTAAAGGCTCCGCTGCCGATGGTATCGAGTGCGAATACCTACTCACGCGAGCTGCATCAGCTCGCCGAAGCTCGCCCACCACTCCCTCCGCTTCACCGCGAGCATGTCCGTCCACCCCTTGCGGCACCCCCGGCACCACGTCTCCTTCTGCTCCTTCGTCAGCCCGTTCGACGCATCGTACCGCAGCGGATCACCCATCCCCGCCTCGACCACCTCGCTCTCCAGCATCATCTTGCGCCAGTGCTGGGACCTACTCGAATAGAGGTGGTTGTATATCGAGCACGCGGACCCGTTCCCCCGGCACGTCGACACGCCCTTCTCGTCCATGTACGGCGCGAGCACGACCGCTTCGCGCCAGCGCTGCTGAAGGACGTGCCGCGCATTGTACAGGCGCAGCAGGTCTGCCTCGGTGAGCCTGATCTGCTTGCGGTCCGCGGTGAGCGTGGCCCAGAACTCGGCGCTCGCGAGGAGTTCGTAGAATGCGCGTTTGAGCAGCTCCGGGATGCCGTACTGGCGCGCGAATAAGATGATAAACACCGCGTCGTGGTATGTGTGCACGGCTGTGGTATCGGCCGACAGAGACGACGGAGCGGGGTTCGTCTTCGTTGTGGGGTGCCGGGACGCCTTCGGGGGATTCTCGGCGTCCCAGATGGCACAGAGGTGCTTCCTCGCGAGTTTGAGCACCACGTCGCACAACAGGCTGTGGGCGGCGCGAACGAGGGACAGCGCGATGGCCTGTGTTGGTGGCGCATCTGTATATATGCTGCAATGGGTTCAGCTACTTATGCAAAAAGCTATCACAGGAGTGGGGTCTTACAGCGGGGTCTCTAGCACGATCAGCAACTTTTCAAAGTCGCCCAAGTCTAGATCGGCAGGAATGTGATATATGGGGCAGCCGTCGATCTCTTCGCACCGATCTTCGTACTCGTTGGCATCGTCGGCGAACAGCTTCTTGAAGTAGATGCAGTACCGCGCCAGGCGCGAACTGTGCAGCTTGTAGTAGGTTGTGTCACCCTTGATCACGACATTTCCGTCGGGGTACCAGAAGGTCGCCGACTTAATGGGCAGCGATGTGCACGGACTCGCAGCGGCATGCGCGCCTTCTGTATGCTGTGCGGTCGTAGCAGATTGCGGCCTGGTCGACGCGCCCGCAATAGGAGCAGTGGGTTGCGCGATAGAGTTGAGACTTTCAAGTGTGCCACTCGGCGAGCGCGCCTCGCGTTTCACGCGCTTTGACGAGGGGTATGGGGTCTGGAGGTCCCCAAGGTGTGTTGAGGTCTGTAACGTAACAGAGCGTGAGCAAGCTACCTCGTACACCGTGGTACGTTCCGTCACTCACCCTCTTCGGGCTGGCATCTCCAAGATCGATCAAAGGAGATGAAGTTGCAGCGGTGCCTCCTGTATTGCGCCCCTGGGCTATACTAGTAGCATCGCGGCGCGGCATAGTGAAACGACGCTCGGTCGCGCTTGCACCGGTATCGGCCATATCTGACTGCGGGGGAGGTGGCGGCAGAAGAACAAGAGCAAAATAAATGGTGGTGTGTCCGTTCGAGAACTATATCCCGCACACATCTTGCATGTGTACACCTGAAAACAAAGGAGTAAGTATCGAAGTTTCTGTGGTGACGCACCACAAAGCGCATGTACCGTGCACGCGTAGGGCGTCAAGGGAACGAGCGGGACGGCGCAGCACTGACTTGTCGTACGTTGGGCATAGGCCGCGCACGATCGAGCTCAGTACAGTGTGTATAACTGGCTTGAGGGCGACGTGTTTCCTGGGCGTCCATTCGTAGTGAGTACAAATGTCCGTAATAAACTCGGCAGCGAGGGACTTACCACATATCGCACTAGTTGGATTTCTAGGCCTGGACGTGTGTCGAAAGCGGATTGCCCCGCCCTCGGCGTGCGGCGGCAGTATCGCCGAGCAGCGCGCGATTGGCACACTGTGCCCGTGCGTCGTCCTCTATCTGACCCAGCACCGAGTGATAGTCGTTCGGACCCAGTCCGCTCGCCAACGGGCCCCGTGTTGGACCTCTGCTGCAACGCGCCTGTAGGTATGTATGCCCTGCTGAAGTGCGAGAGCACGGAGGTGCCCACTGCTCGCCGCCTAGCGTTCGGTCGACGGAGGAACGCACACCAGCAGCCCGCCTGGGTGTCCAGTTGTAGCGCGTAACCCTGTCTCGCAGGGGGGCCTATCGCCTGGATCTGGGCTGGCATGGTCGCAATCGAGGAACTCGCCAGCTCGCGGTACATCGAAAGACGACGCTACGCGAGTGCTCCTCGGCCACGACTTATGCTGCGGGCCTATTCCGCAGCGAGGGTGCTAGGCATGCGCACGCAGGGCGCCAGCCTCTCCAGCCGCGTCTTCGCACCGAGGAGAAGCTTGGACGCACCACCGCGGGCTGAGAGGCGCATCCGTGTTAGCAGTGTCCCGGACGTGTTGGATACTGGGATGCGAGCATATTCTAGTCATCAGTGCCAGCACTCGCAAGTACACACTAACACGTACAACGGTCCGTGGAGCAGTAGCACTGTGTGCATGAGGATGTTTGGTCTGGACGGCGGCAACTTCGACACAGCTGGAGTCGAGGCGCAGGTCATCTGGCAGGCCCTCAGCCGTTTCGTCGGCAAGTCTTCAAGGGGCCCTTCTGTGGGACGGTTTGCTAGGGATTGATCGCCCAGATCCTTCGGCGTGTCAGGCGCAGAATGACCGCTGTCGAGACGTCAGTACTGCGAAGGAGCCACGTTGGATGAGATCGACGCACAGCGTTCGCTGAAGCACGAGAAAACGCAGCCGGCGGTGGATGGAACCTTGTCGTGGCGGCTATCCTCCGGGTCGTCGATGAACGACGGTGCGTAGCGTGGCCGCCCTCGCTCTACCTCTCTCGAGTCGTACGCCCGGTGGCAGCTTCATATCGAAGGCGTGATCTGCAATCGCGACTGGCCTATCCATGTGTGTTCTCACGTAGTTGTCTGTGCAGATCACACATCTGTACTAGACCCGGCGCTGCGTCTGTTGTTCTGTACACCGGAACATGTTTCCCTGGACGGCCGTCCACTCTCCTCGCTTGTGTACACCCCGACGATAGCGTGGATCCTAATCTCGCGGTCCCGAAGGAGTATTTGGCAGGATTTTGACCAGCTCGCGGCGCACGTGCGGTCCAGGGGATCTTCGCGTTCTCGTGTGTTCGTCGCCCGCTGTTCTCGGGTCATCCTCTCTCGGGTCGTCCTCGGGTAGCGGTCGCGCTGTGCGTCTGCGATGAGCAACGCAAGGCAGGAGAGACCGCCGCAAGCGGCCCACTTTGCGGTGGGTGTACAGGTGACGGCGGCGATCTGGGTGACGCGGATATCCGGACTTTCCAGAGTTTCACGAATCTACACGTACAGCACTACATGACATATGTTAAAATGTCGCTACGGACGACGCAGTAAATGTGGTGCTCACCTATTGCGGAAATCGCCCAGGGAAGGCCTGTTGGGGCGCGAACAGAAGCGCTAGGTGCACGTACGTCGAACACAGGACCGAGCACGAGCCCGCAGCTGCCCGAGTCGCCGTGTTCTGTCGCGCGCAGCGGACGAGAGCGACAACGGCGGTATGAGATATTGCAGCGGACACATTCCACCACCTAACGTTCTCCAGACGCCGCAGCTGAGAGCGCATACGCTGAACCACCGTGCTTGTGCGTGACGGGGGTCGTCGTGAATCCGAAGTACGCGATCGCGCCGGAGCGCGGACACCCCGTCTTCGTGAACGACGGGATCAGGGCCGCCTCGTGCTAGCTCTGCTGAATTTTGTCATCTGCGTTGTAGAGCTCTCCTCGGCTATCCCGGAGCTCGTGGACAGCGCGCTTGAAACGCGGTGCTCGCGAGAAGCTCGCAGGGGGCGTGCTTGAGGGGTTCCGGGATACCGTACTGCTTTGTGGTAGGTGTGCGCGACGTTGAATGGATCCGCGGCAACGAAGGGGCGGCGCTGATCGTAGGCGGTGAGGGAGTTGCTTTATGTGAAGGTGTCTGCGGGGAATGCCTGTCTCGAATCGCGCGGTTGAGGACAGTGCTGCGCAACCGGCCAGCGCGAAGGCGGAAGAGCACGGCGCCCTCTCGCTTCCGCGAACACTGTGCACATGCTCAGCTATCTGACGTATTGGTGGATGATGCGCACAGCTTAGCTTCCGTTTGTTTGGAACTGGGGCGCGGACGTGTTTGGTGCAGCATGCGACTGCTAGCACATTATGAGCAATTCGAGTCGTCGCTACTGGAAGAGACGGCTCACGGGCGGCGCTGTCATTTCCCTAAGACGATACGTCATGGCCTATCAAGAAGGGGGAGTACTGGGAGTGCGCATTCATCAGGGCGAGAACGTAGGAAGGACTCACCTCTGAGCTCGCACATGCGGGATCGTGTTCGTCACGCAGTGCTCTCGTGCCAATTCGTCCGGGTCTCCGGACAGCGTACGCAGGACGGACGGCGCGTCGTGCACGTTATGCACCTTTTCTCGGAGCCCTAAGCGAGAGATCCTATAGGTGATATTGATATGTCGAGGGCCGTAGAAGGCATGCTACACCAGGCGTCCTCCGAAACTTCACGAAGGAGCGTGAGCTACGATAAGGCGGTAGAGAAGGAACATTGACTTACCGGCTAAACGTATGAACTCCGTGTGGTCGACATAGGCAGATGAGGGAGCAGTGCCGCCTTCGTCTTGCGCCGTCTCATGTAGTACCACGGAGCTTTGATGTACAACAAACGCAGTGGGCGTACCGCACGGAGACTGTCTTGTCGCGAAGTCGAGAGGCCCTAATCGCCAGATTCCGGGTAAGTCATTCCGGCGGAGACACAGCAGTTCTCGGTCGAGGTATGGAGAGTTGCAGGGGAGGCGTCTTGTGTAGGGATGGATAGCGAACGCGGAGGGGACCTGCGAAGAGCTCTATAGATTATCTCACCAGGCGCGACCTGTAGCATCTTTCTCCATCCGTTACGATGCCAATGCAAGCAGAGGGGACTAATAGCAGTCTCTCGGAAGTATACAGGCTCGATGAGTGATTATAGAGTGAGCAGCGACGCCGAGTCGTGACAGTCGCGGACGGGATGCAAGGCAGATACGAGCGCCTACACGCGCCCATGGTGGATGAATCGATGACGTCGGATGGTCCCAGGCATCTGGCGGGCGGCCTCACGCCTCTCACTCTTTCTCACTCGGACGCGGACATCTACACATCGAGTCTTTCCTCGCTGCTCTCTGGCTTTCTCTGGCAGCGCAATCTGGAGGTCGTATGTTGCTCACTCGTTTACGCGCTCACGGTCTGATTTGAGCGATGATCATTGGCGGTAAACCTTTCTACTGGCCGTGATCGACTTGGTGCATGCCGCTTCAAGTTCCAAACCTGCGCGGCGCTCGCCCCTCGGTATGCTCGCAAGTCGTACGCTAGACTTCAAATGCAGGACGGATGCATATGCAGACCTTTTCGCTTGCGAACATGGGTAGCCCTCAGCCAGCCACATTGCCAGTACGTCGCCCGCTGCTGCCGCTTCTACATAGATATTCCGCCATCCCCCAGGCGGATCTCCCGACCGCGCTCAACAGCATGGCTCGGTAGAAAGCAAATCATTGAGCTTCTCTCGACCTCCACTGCGGGAATGAAGCATTTTGCCTCGGTCGTGAGTGCATCAACGCCGCCTGCACGAAGCACAACGGCCGTCTGCGCCCTTTCTCACCAGTGAGTTTTACACCCATATCTACTCGAGATGCCTGGCCCCGTTCGACCACGCTATGTGCAGAAGTCCACGCCGCAATAGCGCGCCGGTCCTTGGCTCCATGGGCGGGCACCAGTAATGCCGTTCACCACTCACCGCTGAGGGCGCAGTAGTCACTACTCGTGACTGCATGCACATCGCGCCGTCGACGCAAGAGTCGTACATCGACGTTGGAGGCACAGAATTGGCGGGAATGCACGCATGGCACGCTCGCTCGGTGAGTCGTCCTTTCTGTTACCGCGAGATTGTGCTCACGGCCTCGACGCGCAATCAGCGCTCGCACCGCGACTTTACCGCCGTCCACGTTAATCTCGTGCTGTCGATGTTCGGCGTCGGTAGCAGCACCCTCGAAGGCGAACACACCATGCGCTCTCTAGCTCTGGACCTTACCCCCGAGCCTAACTGTGCAGCATCTTCGCGCTATTGGAGGCCCGACTGACAAGTCTGTTTGGCGGAGACCTGCGATTGACATGACGACGCGATGAAACTCCCTCGCCTGATCAGCGTCAGCCCGCACGTCATGGAACTCTGGCTGCTCCCTCTAGGTCGCGCTCGCGGACTCCACCTGGACACCACCGTCGAGCCCTTGGAGGCTTGCGGGACCATGCCGCGACTTCAACATCTTCGCACAACCAACACCAGGTAGCTCGTCATGCCGCGTCGTATATGAAGGTCTCGATGGGCGATGCGGGTACACGGTATGTCTGAGTTCTCGCAACGGGAACACCGGCGGTGCAGGTTGCTTGCACCGGTGCGGGCCAGCGCATGCTGTCGCTCTTCCATGTCTGCGCCGCCATCAGGAAAAACGCCCCCAGCAAATGAGAGCAAAGAAGTACTCATAAGCTCTCACGATGCATAATTGGATGCGCATAGCACTTGAGTTCTAACTAGATAGGTCCCCTGATACCTGAGGCACTGTGAGCACTAAACAGAGCTTTGACGATGCTCAGTGTCACCTTTTTTGCAGCTTAGAGGAAGGTACTATCACACCATATCACACCATGTACAGGGAAAGGAATGCATTATGATGTAGTAAGGTCCATAACGAGTAAAAGACAGGATGATAAAAGCGAGCGTGAGATGCAGAAAAGGTATTAAAGGGAGGAGGCGGATACACTGGCGTACAGTAGGACAAGATTGAGTAGAAAATTCTGACGGCGCAAAGCAGGTATCAGGAGCACGATGGACAGCACATCGTCCCCACGCAAATGACTACTCAACTTCCATAGCTGCAACATTGAGGAAGCTCTTGCGTGGGCCTCCGGACGGCCCGGAAGTTCCCATTGGGGTACTGCATCCCGACAGGCCCGGAAGACGTCAGTGTTGCCAAAACTATACACTTGCAGTACATACCTGATCCGACGCCAAAAGCCATGCATAAGAACGTGGAATTGTACCGGGCCGTGCGTACGAATGGTGGAAAGCTCTTGAATATGGTCCTTGTAGACGCCCCAATAGTCGTTTGATGAGAAGTCGCGCGGTTGCACGCGATTGTGCTTGCAGTCCTCGATTGCCGCGTGAAGCTGGAATACGTGTCAGTATGGTGCAGGCAAAGGCTGGCAGTACAGAATGTACCGCTGTGGCCACAAGAGCAAGCATAGCGGCCGGGATCTCCTTCTCGTCAGGCTTGTCGGGCAGCGATGACTCGAAGTGCTCTGAGATCTTGAAGCCCAAGCTCGACGGTCGTTTGAAGAAAGCGACACGGAGGGTTTCGAGGAATACGGGAGGGCTGTACGGCTTGCCCACATTGATGGTCTTGTTCTGCACGAAGATTGTATGAGTGTCGCATCGGACAGGAAGTGGTAGGACTCATACGCACCTGGTAATCGAACGGGTATATGTACCGGAAGCCCTCTTGGAGCCAGTCACCTTTGTCCTTGTCGCCAAAGACCAGCCCAAACGCAGTGCACGGCTGGCCTTCCACAAGCTTCCGCACTTGGCCGCGGAAAGTAGGGATACGCTGAGCAGGCTGTGATCAAATGGTAAGCAGCGATGCACCAGTCATTCATACCGGTAGTAAGACATACAATTCTGCACAAGTCGTCTGCATAGTCCTCCTGCTTCCTCAGACGCCTGGAGATGTCGTCGTAGGCGAAATGAGAGGCGGCACTGAGAAGTGCGCGTTTGACGATCTGCCCCTGTCTCTCAGGGCCATCCGGAAAGGCGTTCTTGAGGAGGACATCGGCGAGCATTGTGTTGATACCATGCTGGATGATGCGGCGAACACGACGGTGCTGTTCTTTAAGCTTCAGCTTACCACGTTGTGGATACACGATCTCGATACCCGAGTCCACCGAGTCGGAATCGGTCGAGGAAACATCGTCGACGTCTGATCCAGTGTCCGAATCCTAAAATACACTTATGATCAGCAGGATTCATGTAGAGTCGAAGATACGTACCGTGTGTGATGTGTACTTTCCTGGCAGGAGCTTCGATGATTTGGGATGCGTCTTCGAGCCCTTTGCTTTGAGCTTCGGCGTCTCCGAGTCGGCGTCGCGGACCAGATTGTTCGACTCGTTCGGTTTCCGGAACTTCGGGATCTGTTGAATCATTCGTCGGAGGGTGGCGGGAGAGGTTCATGAAGGTTTGGGACAGCTTACCTCATCTGCGCGCTTTGACGACACCGCACGTTTCGGGGTCTCCTTAATTGCGGCACGATCGGGTGCAGGCTTCGGCTTGGACTTGGTGACGGTCCCGATGGCTTCCTTTGAACCTACCAGTACGCACTTGATCAGGACACCATTGAGTGTGTATCATCATGGCAAATATTACATACCGTTCCTCGACTGCTTCTTGGTAGGCTGGCCGACCAACGCGAATAATGTGAGTCACAATGCAGTCGCATCATATAGCCCAAGCTTGGAGGAGCGACATACCGGTGCAATAACAGCCTCGCTCTCCGAACCGCCGTTCTGGTGACGAGAACGTTTCTTTGACTTGGAGGGCTTTGAGCGAGACTCCGGCGGGTTCGGTGGCTCGCTCGCAGGCTCATCTTCGTCCTCGCCGACCCAATGAGCAGTCTGTAGGAAGACGGCACAAAGGCCGCGAGTCAGTAAGCTCTTGAAGAACAAGCACGGAATTGACGCTCATCGTCGCAGTAATGACGCCTTACCTCGTCCGCGAACATCTTCTTGAGCGCCTGCGGGTTCTTCTCCATCACCTCAAGACCTTCGTCTTCGTCATCTGTATTCTCAGCCTCTCCCGACTCCTCTTGTACGGACGACTTGTCTTCTGAACCTGCTGCATCGTCGGAATCCGACGTGTCATCGCTGGCAGCATCCAATCTTGGTGATCGGACCTTGCGGAACTTGGGCGGCATGTGCGAGACGTCCTCAATAGCCCGAGACTGTTAACTTCATTAATGTATTCACACCACTGTACAACTTATACATACCGGTGCCTTCGAGGACTTCGCGCTATCAAGCTTGATGCTTGACTTCTGGATCTGCTCTTCATCGGAGGAAGCGTCGGGATCAATTCGCTGCGCACGATATCTTTCGGATCGATTTGACGCTGGTCTCAAGCGGCTTTTGTCCTCGACGAAGTCGCTGACGGTCGTCGCCTTCTCCTTGGCTGGTGATATACACAAGTGAGTACATAAGCGAATGGTAGCCAAATGGATACTAACACTTGCGCTGTGTTGGCAAGGGTGCATTGCCCTCCGATTCGTTATCAGATGGCTGCGGGACCTCCTTCCGAGCGTGCTTCTTGCGAGGTCGTCCTGGAACCAAGGACTCCCATTCTGCATATCATGATTAGTGGTAATGCAGGATGATGTACTAAGTGAGTGAAAGCCTACTTTTGTTAGCATCTTGCTTGGACTTCCGAGAAGCTGCAGAAAGCACTGCATCAGCGAGATGATGCACAGTCGATGGGTGAGAGTTGGCTCACGACGGCCCTCTCGAGTGTTCGCTACTGCTGCAGTTGCGGCGCCAGCGCCATCAGAATCCATGTCGTCCTCCGAGAGGACCCGCTTTCGGTGTGCCGCCATACGCGAGAAAGCCTGAGGCGCAGTCCAGGTCGCAGGCGGCACTGAGAATCGGGGGTCGGTTGACTAGGACGCAATGAATGTGTTTGCTGAGGAAGTAAAGAGTGAAAGAGGTAGGATGTGGTTGTGGGTTGGGTTGAGGGGAGAAGTGGAGTATCGTACGTGGCCACTCACTTGCTCGGGTTGGGGTTCCGACCGCTGACGGTTCCACCCGACTCGCAGAGCTCCGTCACAATCTACGGTCACACCATCTCCCGCCTCACCTTGCGCATCCCTCGAATCATCGACTGCTTGCTTCTATAAAATACCAGCTCTGGCTGCTGTCGATATGTCTGCTCGAGGTCCAGCAAAGCCCAAATTCTGCACGGGCTGCCACAAGTCTTTCACGTTCTCAGGCTACGAGTCTCATCTCAAACAAACAACGAAGCCCGCCTGTGTTGCTGTCCGCCACACTGTGATATCACAACGCCCACAACCTCCCTGCCTGTCTCCTGTGGCGGACGGCCTAACCGGCACACCAGGTCGTTCGGGCCATGGTGCCGACACTGACGACGATGAGGACCCTGGCTCTAGCACCGCCCAACCTGTTGCCTTTGAGGGCGACTACTTTGGCTCCTACTCGGCGGACGACTTCGACGACTTCGACGAGTACAATGGCGATGATGAAGAGAACGCCTCCAGCGATGAAGAACAGCAACGTCAGGAAGCTCTCGAAGAGGACGAAGACGCTGAGGTTGATGCAGCCAATCTCGAGGATGAAACGGGTTGGGAGCCCCGACCCGCTCAACAGCCCGTCTCTGAGTCCGCCAACCAGCACCAGGATGACAATTCCCCCATGCCAGATGACCACAGTGGGCCCGATCGCGCTGCACAGTCCCGTGCTCACCAACACCTGCGCTCCAAGACGTCTGTGGTCCCTTTCCCCGGCAACCGCGCTGGTGCTCCAATCGGCCGGCCACGCGAACGCTCAGCATACGAGAAGTATCAAGCCCACATCGACTCCGTCAATGCCAACCCTTACGCGCCATTCATCTCTGCGATCGACTGGAAGTTCGCCCGGTGGGCCAAGCAGCGTGGTCCCGGCTCCACGGCCGTCTCCGAACTACTAGACATCGAGAATGTAAGTGATTCATACTGCACTTGTCCGGCTTTCCTCACAGCCATCCTGAACTAGATCCCGGAGCTCCTCGGCTTATCGTACAAGAACTCGCGTGAGCTTAATACAATCATCGATAACCAGCTCTCATCGGGCCGGCCAAGGTTCGTACGGCGCGAAATCGTCGTTGCAGGCGAAGTCTTCGAAATATTTTACCGCGATGTTCTTCAATGCATTCGTGCGCTCTACGAAGACCCCGAGTTCGCCGACTTTTTGGTGTTTGTCCCTGAGAAGCACTACGCGGACGCTGGCAACACGTCACGCGTCTATTTCGATATGCACACAGGAAAATGGTGGTGGGAGACCCAAGTATGCAACCCTTAGTATCTCTACAGTTTGCACGCTCACACAAGGCCTCTCGATGATTAGAAACAGATCGAGAAGCACAAGCCTGGCGCCACGATCATTCCAATCATCATCTCGTCGGACAAGACACAACTCACTGTCTTCGGCTCGAAGACCGCCTACCCCGTGTACATGACTATCGGGAACCTCCCCAAGGACATCCGACGCAAACCCTCGCGTCGAGGTCAAATCCTTCTGGCGTACCTCCCGACCTCTCGTCTTGAGCATATCAAGAACAAGGCTGCGCGCCGGCGCACGCTTGCGAACCTGTTCCATGCCTGCATGGCACATGTGCTCGCACCGCTGAAGAAAGCCGGGATCGATGGAATCGAAGTGACTAGTGGAGATGGGGTCACTCGGCGTGGCCATCCGATCTTTGCCATGTACGTCGGGGACTACCCCGAGCAGTTGCTCGTAACGTGCTGCAAAAATGGTACGTGTCCTAAGTGCGACATCCCACGCGATGATATTGGCGCATCCACAGACTCCGCCCGCCCCCTGCGCGACCTGAAGAAGATCATGAACGCCCTCGACAAATTCGACTCCGACACGCCGGCTGCCTTCTCGAAGGCGTGCAGAGACGCAGGGATCAAGCCCGTTGTGAATCCCTTTTGGAAGGACCTCCCCTACGCTGACGTCTACCAATCCATCACACCCGACATCCTGCACCAGCTCTATCAAGGCGTCATCAAGCATATTGTGTCGTGGCTGAAGTCTGCGTACGGCCCGGACGAGCTGGACGCGCGATGCCGGCGGCTCCCGCCCAATCACCAGATTCGTCTCTTCCTGAAGGGAATCACAACGCTGCAGAGGGTGACCGGAAAAGAGCACGCCGACATCTGCCGCTTCCTCCTAGCGCTCATCATCGGTCTTCCCCTCCCAGGCGGTATCTCTGCTGTTCGTCTTGTTCGTGCAGTGCGCGCTCTCCTCGACTTCCTCTATATTGCACAATATCCAGCCCATACATCTGAGACACTCGAACTGCTAGAAGACGCTCTTCGGCGGTTTCACACGAATAAGGAGGTCTTTGTCCAGCTCGGAGTCCGCCAGCACTTCAAGTTGCCGAAGCTCCACTCGCTCGACCACTACGTCCAGTCTATCAAGCTGTTCGGCACAACTGACAACTATGATACCCAGTACACCGAGCGCCTACACATCGACTTCGCGAAGGACGCCTATCGCGCCACCAATCACAAGGATGAGTTCCCTCAAATGACGACCTGGCTCGAGCGACGTGAGAAGATATTGCGGCATGCGGCGTACGTCGAGTGGCGCCTGCGCCGTATCGCTATAGATCAAGAACGCGCCGCCCAGCCTGCCCATGACGCCAATGCTCCATCGCCTACTACAGGCTCGTCGGAGGCGTCTCGCTCAGGCTCTATACAGTCTGTAAGTGCATTTCTTCATTCTTTCCGCAGGGATGTACACGTCTAACTGCGCATCAGATGGAGCCTGCCCGTGCCCCGCGTCCGAGCTCAGCTGGTCTTGCACTTCAACACCGAGGGGGCCCCCGCGCGCAGTGTTCCATCTGGACGCGCATCAAGATTACCAAATGGCCGAGCGTCAAGGCACTCTCCCTCGAAGCAGCTGCCGAACGGTACGGCGCCTTGTATCTCCGTGACGCATTGGCGCGCTTTGTGGTTCAGTATCGTAACCCCGGACTATCTGCTGCCGAAGTTGAGCAAGCATCCCTCGCTGTCAGCCTCCGTTTCCGCAAGATCCCGGCCTTTCACAAGCTCAAGTTCGCACTTGACGACGCACAGGACCTTGGGGTCATGGACAACACTCAAGACGTCGCTCATGCGCGGCCGGAAAGGAAGGATAAGCAGGGTCGGACTGTACCTGGTCGCTTCGACACCGTACTTGTCAATGATGGCACCGGTGGTTTCTCGGGGGTCCAAGGTAAGTCTCTCTCATTGACAAACACTCCTGACCCATGGCACTTATGTGTGATCACTAGGATATCACGTTGCTCAGCTGCGTCTGGTCTTCAAGCTCCCAAAGGCTGCGTGCCAAGAGCTATTTCCGGACGTCCTCGTGCCAGGACACCTTGCCTACGTCGAACGCTTCACGCCGTTCACTGCACCCGACCCCGCCCACGGTCTCTATAAGGTCACACGACGACGCGATGCAGCGGGCGCGCGTTTAGCGACTGTTGTCGAGGTGCGAAACATCCGACGAAGTTGCCATCTCCTCCCTGTAACAGGTGCCGTAGTCCCGCGCGAATGGACCAGTAGTACAGTTCTCGAATCCTCCGAGAGCTTCTGGGTTAACCCTTTTAGTGACCTCCATATGTACATGACTTTGTTTTGACTGTTTCGACCTCATGCCTTGTGCGCTGCATACACTTAGTGAAATTGAGCGAAAATAGGTGATATTGCTATATAAAACATCGGACCATTGACCGGTATAGTGCCCATATTCTCTTATGTGCACGGTCGTCTGCTTATGAGCCCCCAGATACAATAATTAGAGCAAAAATGCCAGGGGAGTTTTTCCTGATGGCCCTGGCTCATACCTTTCGCTAACAAATATTCTTGTTGCACAGCTGGGTGTTGTGGTTCCTATCCCGGCGCTGTGCTGCCACGAGACCGTAACACATCACGCATCCCGTATCCCGCAAGTTCAATAAATACAAATCACATTGTTGCAGACACCGCAATTGTTGCATACATCACACACAGACACTCGTTTGTACATAACCAAATCCAGAGACCATCACAGGAACCAAGAAGCCCCACCCGCGGACCACCTGCTCGCCAGCGCAGGCACAAAGGAATGACTCGGGCACGGATGGGCGTGTGCAGCACACCTCCTATTTGTGTTCACACGTCGCCCCCGCTCGACAGCGGGAGGTCGCGCTGCTGCCCGTCGGTGCCCTACCGTCTTCGTGCTGTTGCTGGTCTGCTAGGGGCCATTGGGTGGGGTAGAGGGTGGAGAGGATGCAGAGAATGGGGAAAAGAAGAGGAAGAGGGAAAAAGGTATGGAGATCATATCAGAATCTGTATCTATGGGAAGAGGTGACCGGTGGCATGCACATGGCGGTATTCATTTGATGAGCTGCATCCTTGATTGAGTTTGGATATGAATGTATGGGAGATTCAGAACTTACTTGAAGAGCACCAAGTGCCTCAGTGACTGTGTTATCTTCAAGGTTGCTCCTGTTGAATCTCAGAGTATGGGTCTTCAGATAAACCTGAGAGTTCATCAAGCTCAGAGTTGATGTGCATGTTGGTCTCAGTATTGCTGCATAAAACATCAACAATGTAAGTACAAAATGTGTCAGTGCAATATTTTCACTCACATAGATGAGGCAGCCTCTGCTGGCAAGTCTTCTATCCATAAATTCTTGTACCATTCCACCCCATCTGAAACATGTTCAGTGCATTGGTCCTCAATGAAAAGATGCATCTGACATACCATGAATATCAGCATGCACTGTTAGGGTGTCCTTCAAGGCAGGCAGGTTCTTTGTGATCTCTGTGGTCCACCAATCTTTGTCAAAGGCTGTATCATTCTCTTCTACTGTGATGATGAACTCTGGAATGGAGGGCAAATGTTGTAAACACTGCTCCATTGCTTCACCACTGATGATTTCAAGCAAATCACCCCGTTTGCACCCATACTGGTCACCTGACCAAAGGTCAATGTCACATTTCTTGAGATGTGATGACCGCATATATCTTAACACCTGTGCAAGAAGGTCAGCTCCTCCTGGTTTACCATCTTCAAACCAGATTGTAATGTTGAGTTCTTCCAGGGACACCATCTCGCCCAGAAATTGAGGGACACCATCTAGCAGATTGCTCATGTAAGAGAAGAGAGGCATATCACAAAGTCATACTCGCCTGACACTGCAGCAGCAGTTGTGAATCCAAACTCAAACGTGGTGAGATTCACAAGTGACCCAAATGCTCCTTGTGGGGGATAGCCCTGGATGTGTGGCAAAATGCTGAGCTGAAGAGTGGGTTACATCTTACAAGATGCAATCAAGTTGGGATGTTCATGTTGTGAGCTCACCTTAAAGTGAAGTATCAATGTGTTTAGGTGTAGCCTGGGCTTGATCTTCAACGCTGTCTTCTTCAGGTTGTCCAATGATGATGCAGCTGGTGTGAGAGTGTCTGCATAATATAAGTTACACCGCAGTAGCTGGGGCATTGCCCAGATGATGTGGAAAATGCCTATGGCAGAAGCAGTCAACCAGACCGTGAAATCCAATTCAACCACACTCTCAAATTTGGTCAGCAATGGGACCAGGCAATTCTGCACATATCTTGGGGGAAACCTCCTCAGAGATCGTATGCTCACTTCAAGCCTCTGACACTTCCTTAGTGAGGGAAGGCTCAGCACCTGAGTCAAGGGTACATAGTCCTCATAAAGGGATATGTGTATCACTCTCACATGCTCAGCAAGCTTAGGTCTGACTGTGAGTGTGTCCACAATTGAGCCAGCTGATTTGCTGTTCCAAACCTGTAGCTCATGGTAGAGGTTATACCGGCTCCGAGGAAGCCACTGAGAGCATGTCAACGCACAGGCTCTCAGAGTCTCGCGGTCTGGCCAATCGAAATCGAAACACTCATCGATGACACGTTCGCAGACCTCGATCGGGAGGCGCGAGTTCTCCATGGTCTGGCGTGAGGGCGGGCAAGACGGTGAGCGTGAGCGGAGGCAGCAGCGAGGAAGCAAGAGGAGGGAGTCGGACACGAGCACCGTCAGGCCATGCACTGTACTTGTAGCCCCGGCCGAGCCGCAACCACACACCACATCGCAGCATCTATGAAACCTTATATGACAGCCTCATGAGCGTCCACTCACTGCACGCGGAGAGGGGAGCGGCACTTCCTCGACGACGGCACGGCCTGCTGTGAGGCGTGTGCGCTGTTCGACACAGCGTGGGTGACCGATCGCCCGCCGACGGCCTCGACGCAGGGGATAACGTGCGGCGCGACGGCGCGGGGGAGGCATGCACGCTGTCGGCGCGAGAAGTCGAAGCGCAGCGATATGTGGTTCTCGGGAGCGCGCGTCGACCGCAACGCGAGCGTCCTAGGGTGCGAGACGCTGACAGCGCAAGGGCATCGCGGTACATTGAGCAGCGATGCTTCTACAAGGGGCGCAGGGTACCACCGGACGGTTGACGGGTCGGGGACCGGGTGTGGTCGTTGGACAGACGGGACAGAAGACGGGAGGAACTGCATTGATAACATCGATACGGCGAACGACAGATCGAAGTGATGTGTACATGGCGCCGGTTGACGGCAGAGGCTGGGGAGAACACGACGAGGAGTGAGATGTGCGCACCTGAGAGCGATGATCGAACGGCGTAGACGGGAGGCGGGGCGAGGACGATCGTACCAACAGCGTCTTGCGCCGCGAGCGCGTCGGACAGCGAGCGACATTCCGACCCAAGCCAGGTGAAAGACGGTTTATGCGGCGGCGAGATAGACGTGATGTTCCAGAGACGGTCGCCTAGATGAGAGGAAAACGGGGATCGGCCAATGCGGGGACAGCAGCGACCACTGCCCAAGGGAGGCAGGCCCTGTGTGCACGGGACGGCTGAGGACTTCCGGCGTATGTGCACGGCTTCTATATTCGACCGTCGACGGCTGGAGCGTATTAGAGTGCGCGAGAACAGCCTGGCAATGGATATGCAAGTCTAGTAGCAAGTACTGGCCTCACATCACACCCGAGCTAGGACGGGAAGACGGGCGGCGGCGGATACGGCGGCGGCAGAGCGATATCGAGATGCGGTCGGCTCCACGTCTGGGAGGCTGCGCAACATCGGATAGGCATGGACGTACGCACCGCTTTCCCAGTACCCAAACATTTACATGCGCGCGAGGGCCTCACGGGGCGAATTGTCTGCCCGCAATTCCATTAAGAGGCGGTTTGAACGTCGAGCTGCCACGCGATCGAGGTACCGAGAGAGTTTGAGAGAGCGCAGTAAGACGAGAGATCGAGCAGCGGATAGCAGGAGACACATATGAGCCCAGTACTTCCAGAGAGCGAAGAGATGAGCGAGGCGAGGAGGCAAGAACGAGCGCCTACACGCATCCTTCCCGCGTTCTGGGCGATGACGTCAGGGCACGCGCTCGACTCCCGCTCTCACTCGGACGCTGCACGTCGAGTCTGCCATCCTCCTCGCCCTCTCGCTTTGGTACCTCTCCCGGCGCAATGAACAGCTCGTATGCCTCTCAACAGCGCTCAATGTCTCGTCTGAGCGATGGACGGCAACAGCGACCTCACAGCAAGACAAGCTTGCTGGACGCCGCTCAGCCTCCAGCTCGAGATGTGTATTGAGCTCAACAGCCTTACGAGTCCCATCTTGAGCGGGTGAGTACAGCTGGAATGCGGAGAGGAATAGCACTAAACTGACCATCTCTCGTATCCCTCAGCCATGACGTCAGTACGTTGCTCGCCATCCAGCCCGTCTCCGTGTGTCGCCGCTCGTATCCGTTGCACACCGTTCATCGCAACCTCTCTGAACCACACGACTCCCAAGATGTCGGGAAAATGCGCTCAGATATCTCAAGCATGACGACACCAACATAGGACATGCCCTGGTCGTGACGTCGCTGACTACGGCTGCGCGTCGAACCAGACGGCTATCATCGCCCTTGGTGAGTTGCAGGCCAACCTTGCGCAATCCCTCTCCCCACGCGGCCCATTGTGCGCCAATGCGTGTCGGTTCTTTGTCCAAGAATCCAGCGCCAGTCACGGAGAACATGTCGCATAAGGCCCAGCACGTAAATTCGGCAGCTTCACGCACCACGCGTCGATGCGGCAGGAGGAGCTGGATCGGAATCTGGTACACTGCCCCGGTGAGTCGCTTCTGCCTATTTCTCGGTATCGAAGAGTTAACACGATCCAATCGCAGCAGTGTACGACCGCCAGCGTCCGCAACGCGCGATGTTCTGGCACGGCGCGCGTCGACGCTCCGCGGCAGTTGCGGCACGCTCTCAGAAGAGTACTTGGCCGTTTTCTCTACGTCGCGCCGTCTAGCTTCAACCGTGCGCAACCGGAATGCGTCACGAAGTACGGAGGGCAAATGCGTCCGGCGAAGGCCTGCGAGCATGTACGGCTCCCTCAGTCGAGCACCGTCAGGCGGTGCGTCGTGCGGCTCTGCCCCGTTCCCTCCGCGCCCGCGAGCTTCATCCGCGCGCACTCGTCGAACCCTTGGAGACCAGGTGGACCACGATGCGAAGGCATGTCAGAGGCTGTTCCCACCGCTGAAGTAAGACTCCTTATGCCATCAACAGCTCGCGCATGGATGTCACGGGCAGCAGATACGCCTGTTCTGCGTACATTTACAGGTCAGCCGTCCACACCGCCCGCACTGGACGGGCGACTCTCCGCGAGCCGCGCATCGAATATTTCCCAGACACCAACGTAGAGCACTCGCCAAATTTCGAAGTGCTGACGTACGTCTTGGATGTCTCATCGCTCGAGCACGCGTAGCAGTAGCATCCTGACGCCTTTAATCCAGATCCAGGAACTCGCCTGTCAAGTCAGCGTCGACAACGTCGCGCAATCCTGCAGTTCTCGGCCGCCATGAATGTCGTCACGAACGTCATCATACTGCCCCATCACCGGCCGCTCGACCGGGCGCATCGCGGTCGAAACAAACCCCGAAGAGGCGGCTTGGTTGAGACAGAAAACTCGACGACCGTCTCGTCCCCCGTTTGAGTCACAAACACACCCCGTTCATTCGTTACCGGACCGTCGCTCGCAATCACCGGAACGTTCACGATCTTTAAACCCGACTAGCCGCGCACCTCCAAGCTACGTCAAAATTCAGGCCATAATATGCTGCCGCACGCGGTATCGGTACCGCTATTGCCTGCTCCCGGTCATCAACTACCATTTACGCCCCTCTCGCCGTCTCTTCAGCTCAGATCGCGCGGTTACGCAATAGCCACTCCCCATGCGGCCTCAGATGACTCGGAGCCTTGATAGCTGGACGAGCGGTCGGCGGGCTACCAAGTACGGACAACTACGCCAAAAGTCTCCTTGACAAGTCCGACGTCTCGTACACGCCCCGGCCCCTCGCGCGCTCGTATACACACTGGTGCTCTCGGGACGTCGTCATGTACGTACGGAAGACTCAGCACTCATTGGACTCGGGCATAGAGCATCCTTCGCGCCATGACCGCGCGGGTCTGCAACCCCGACGTCCAGCCCCGCACGCCGCTTCAGGGCGCGCCGGCATCTGCCTGCGTTCTGCGCTGAGGTGTTTGCGAACGCTTACACTCTCGCAAGGGCATTCTTGTGACCATGATTCGACCACCGGGGGCACAGTCGCGACGATGTGATGGGGCTCGCGCCCTCACGCCCTGCTTGGTCGGGTCACCGGGAGCTAATGGCGGCCTCGATTCAACCTTGGAGGCGATATGTGCACCGTGCGCAGGCCAGAACAGATGCCATTCGATATTCACGATGGAAATTACTTGTACATATGTTGAGTCTCGTAATTAACCATAGTATACACATACGCAATCTATCGCCAAAAGACAGGTACACCCGGGCGACGCGAACGAGTGCTTAGTGAGGATGAAGGTGAATCAAGATGCGTAGTATGAGGATCCCTGCACTGTGAGCGAGCGCCCGCAGTCTACGTGTAAGTTACACGGGTACGTGTCCCGCGGAGAACACTATGGTACGAGGCCGGGAGACCCCGCGCGGGCGAACGTACATGGGATCAAGAGGGGCCGTGTAGCTAGTACTGAGGAGATACAAAGTCACCGCGCGCGAGATTGCGCGTCGTCGTCCGACACTCGACGATCTTGACGCGTCAGAGGTCCGAGAACTATCGTGGCCATGACGCTGCCGTAACACTCTGACTCGCCCTAGTAGAGTGCGTACAGCTCGCTCGGGGGCGGTATGTTTCCTACGCGTCCAATCGTGGTCAGCGCACGCGTTCACAAGAAGCTCGAGTGTGAAGGACCGACCAAATACGCTGAATGCCAGTCCTGATCCTAGACTCCCATTAAAGACGAAGTACCCTGCTGCGCGCCCCCGGCGTGCGGCGAGACCATCTCGCCCGCGATCGGCGTTCCCGTACGTCGTCTTCATATGACCCAGCGCCGACTCGGAGGAGTCGTTCTAGAGGAGTGCGCGCCGCGCGCTCTGCTGTCCTCCACTGTGGTCCCGATCCGCTCGCCAACGGCCTCCAAGGTGCTAGACTTCTGCGGCGACGCGCGTGCCTGTAAGTCTCGCTGAGAGAGTCGAGAGTGCGCGGCCGTGCACGCTGCCTAACGCTCAGCCGACGGAGGCATGCGCGACGGCGTGAGTCTAGCAGCTACGTCTGGCGGGGATGTGTCTCCTGGCCTGGTTTGGTCGCGAGCGGACACCTCGAGGTCTTGCGATACGTCGAGCTCTGGAACACGGCGTCGCGTGCGTGCTGCTTGGTCTCCTTAACGTCCGCAGGGCGAGGATATCGGGCCATGTGCAGGTATGGCGTCAGCATCGCCAGCTGCGTCTTCGCAACCAGGAGAGGCTTGGGCGAACAACTGTGGGCCAAGAGGTACATGCGTGTGGCAGGTACATGACACGATGTATAACATCGCAGCCGCGAAGGCGTGGCGGCAGGGTGATACGGCCGCGCGGCCGCGACTGCTGTGATCGCGATATAGAGAAACTGCGGGGTGTCTCTAAGCACACCGTCGTGCGCTGTGGTAAGGGCACGCACCTCCAGTACGGATCATGAGGGGCCGCATGATGAGGACTTTCGACCTTCGCGGGTGTGTAGCTCCGAGAACTGCTGTCTGCATGGTCGTAGCGCGCGAGCGTGTTCGCTGTAGAAGGCATGTGCCGAAACGGCCGGAGCGAATGAAGATTGACCTGCGAGAGAACGTCGGAAGAACTCACCCTTGGGCTCGCACGGACCCTCCGACAGTGTAGGCAGGACAGGCGACCCGTCGTACACCCTAGCGCTACTTTACTTGACGGAATGTTCGTATCTAAGCGACATTATCAGTGAGATTGAGACGTCTCGACTCCAGAAGCGTGTGCAACGACGTCAGTGTATACGACGTGATCGCCGGAAGGTCCTGAAAGATCGTGAGGCACAAGATCAAGGTAAGGGGCTAGCCCTAACGTACCAGCTAGTTGTGCGGGGTCTGCACAGTTGACATGGATGGAGGCGGGGAGCTACATGACCTTCAGGTTCGTCTGGCGCCGTCTTCGCGACACGGGGCTTTCAGGTACCTTTGGTGCGGAATAACTCACGCAGTGCGCGTACCGCGCGGGGGCTGTCAGGCCGCGAAGTCGAGAGCCGCGGCTTGCTGAATCCAGAGTAGCTAGTCCCGGCGGAGACACAGCAGCTATCGCGGGGGGCTTTAGGCCCTCGGGACGTGCATGGGAGGAGAGTCTTGCGCAGGAATAGACAGGACGGGGATCCAGAGAGGACCTAGGAGAGAGCTCCATCCAGTGTGTCACCAGGCGATCTCTGGCCCCCGAAACCATTCGCTACAATAAGCTGGATGTGTCTGAGAGGTAGGCTGGACGAGTAGTACGGTGAGCAGCAAGGCAGAGTCGGCGTCGCGGTAGTCGCGGGCGGGATGCAAGGCAAGCACGAGCGCCTACACGCGTCCATGCGATGAACGTCAAACGATCCCCGGGCATGCGCGCGACTTCACGCCTCTCGCACTCTCTCTCACTTGGACGGCTGCACCTCAAGTCCGTCCGCGCCGCCCTCTCGCTTACTCCATTGGCACAATCCATGGGTCACATGCTGCTCGACGTCTGCTCTGCACTATGGACTTCAACAACGACCTGGCAAGAAGACGTTTACGATACCGCTGAGCCTCAAGTTCGAGATGTACACGGAGCTACTCAGCGCTCAACGGCCGCGCTCCAGTCACGGTGAGTGGTAGAAGAAGGCAGATAAGGTCGTGCTGAAGCGAGAGTCTCTCGTATGTCCCAGCTATACTGGCATCACGTCGTGCACTGTCTGCCCATCCGCGTCTATCACTGCTCCGATGTCCATCGTACCTTCCGGAAGACGCGGTTCTTGCAGCCCACCTAGGTCACTCGTAAGCGGCCGACGAAATGGACTATACCAAGCACGACAGCACGAGTCCAGGACTAGGACTAGTCGCCGCGTTGCTCACCACAGCTGCGCGAAGAGCAAGACATCGGTTCTATCATCGCCCTCGGCGCGTCTCAGGCCGACCCTCCGCGCAAGATCCCTCCTCTCGCGCGGCTCACCACGCGCAGGGGTCTACCAATGTGCGCCAGCTCTTTGACCCTGAAGCTGGCGTTAGTCACGGTGAGTATGTTGTACAGGGCTCAGCGTGTTAGAGCCCTCCAAACGCACGCACCTCGCGTCGATGAGACAGGGTGTGCTAATCGACACGCTGCCCCGGTGAGCTGTTTCTGCATATAGCTCCGTGATTAAATGGCTGACACCTTGGTATCGGAGCAGTATACCACCGTCAGCGCCTTACTATAACCTTCCAGTACGACGCATACCTCACGTCATCGATGCTCGGCCGCTGCGGCACCTCACGCAACTGCTCCAGCCGCGCTCCCCTCGCCGCGGCCTCGATTCTTATTGGCGCGCTGCGGTCTGTTTTCGGGCGCACACGCACAGGGAGACGACTCTGCTCGACGAAGACCTGCTAACAACATATACGTAACGACGCGGCTCCTTCGTCTCCTCAAGCACCAACGTGCACGTCCTGCAGCCCCGGCTGCTCAGGTATCTACGACGCACCTGCGGGTTCATTCGAGCGCGATCTTCAAGTTCCTGGAGACGTGGCGGGCCATGACGCGAAGCGACCCCGTTACCCCGCACCGGCCACGGGCAGCGCTTCGTTTCATATCGCGCGTACAAATACCTAGTGGGCGACGCGTTCGCGTCCGCACCAGGCGCGGTTCTCGATCGCGACTTACATACATGCGCGTCCTCCCGCCGCTCAAACACAGCTGCGCGGCGATTCCTCGCGCCCTACTCCCTTGAGCAAACCATTGCCCCGCGCTGCTCGAGGCTCCTTGCGCGGACGACAGCGGAGGCTGGCGCATGTTGCGGTACCCCGCCCCGTAACCGATTGCTGCGGATACGAAGCGCTGCACCGAAAGCGCCCTTGCCAGCCGCAGCATACGGCCCATCCCCCATCGACACTCCTCTCACCGTCCCTCTAGCGAACATCTTGCGATTACGCGACAAGCAACAAGCGGCCTCTCATACGACTTCACGCAACTCGGAGCCTTGACGGCTGCTGACGACTCGGCGCGCCACTCCGTCACTAATCGCACTGAGTCTGACCCACCCCGCCAAAGGCACCGGTAGCACCCGCGGCAACATCTCGCGGTTGCCCCGGCTCCTTGCGCGCTCGTCTGCACCGTTGCCATCAGCGTGCGGAAGTCCCAAGCAGCTAGCGGGCACTAAACGTTCTCCTAGCAATGGGCATGCGACCCTGGCTCCGAGGGTTCAACGTCCGCGCGCCCATTCAGAAATGGAAAGATACATCCCCACGTTCCGCGCCTATGCATTTGCGGACATTTACAGGCTTGAAACGGCGTTTGCGTATACAAGATCCTCCCGCGAGGGGCATGGTCGCAACGGTGCGACGGTTCTCGTACCGCTGTGTTTCGTCGATTTCGGAGGCGAGAGGTGCGTGTTGCGCAGACCGCAGGGGAGAAGGAACATCGCCGCTTGATAGGCTTTGCCAACGGTCGTCGGGCAGCATTCCAGGAACGCATAGCATGGGGTATATACGAAGATTGCATGTACTTACGCTGGGCTTGTAGCTCACAATAATATGCACATGGGCGGCCCAGATGATTTATCGAAGATAGGCATACCATGTCACGAGTGGGGTTGTCTATGTGTCGCATATATACATGTAGTTTGGGAACCACATCGTGGGCGGGCGCGGTCTACGTGTATATGTTACGGCGATGAGGTTATCCGGATAATGCTACGTGTCATAGATACCTTTCACTAGTGAACATGAATGGAAATGAGACTAGCTAGTGGTGAAAGGATACACAACCTTACCCTGTGCGGGCGCGTCGTCGTCGATCTTGACATGTACGAGGTCCGAGAACTTGCGTGGCCGTGCAGCTCCCGCGGTACTCGCTCTAGAAGAATACGCATAGCTCGATCGAGGGCGGTATGGTTCCTGCGTGGCCATCCGTGGTCAGCGCATATGTCCGTAGGAAGCTCGGACGCAAGGGACTTACCAAATCTTTACCAATCCTAGTCCTGTAGTTGGCGTGCGGCGACTCCATCCCGCCCGCGATTGGTACCCCATGCCTGTGCGTCATCTCCATCGAGTCACAGTCGTTCGGACCCAGTCCGCTCGCAAACAGGCCACGCAATGAACCGCTCCGGCGAGGCGCATGTATGTATCCCTCGTGAAGCTCGAGAGCGCGCAGGCGCCCACTGCTCGCCGCTTAGTGATCGACCGACGAAGGCGTGCCCGACGGCGACCCGCCTCGCGGTGGCGTCCAGCTGCAGCGTGTAACCCCATCTCGCAGGGATGTCTGTTGCCGGGATCTGGGCTGGCGTGGTCGCGATCGGGAACTCGCCAGCTTGTGATACATCGAGTTCTGAGACACGACGCTGCGCAAGCGCTCCTCGACCACGACTTCTGTCGCGCACTGTTGCCGCCGCGAGGGTACTGGGGTACTGGGCGTCCGCAAGTAGGGCGTTGGCTTCTCCAGCCGCGCATTTGCGCCGAGGAGAAGCTCGGACGCATCACCGCGAGCTGGGAGGCGCATGCATGTGGGCGATATTCCAGATGTGTCGGATGCTGGGACGCGAGCGCCGTCGGGTGGTTAAGGCGCGGACTCGCAGGTACTACCACGTACAACGGTCCGTGGAGCAGCAGCGCCGTGTTGTATAAGGATGTTTGGCGGGGACGGCGACAACTTCGACAAAGCCGGCGTCGAAGTGCAAATGCTCCTGCAGGCCACAAACGTCTCCTCGGCAAGTCTTCAAGGGGCCCAAGTTCTATGGGATGGTTCGCTAGGGCTGAATCGCCCGGATGCTTCGGCATGTCAGGCGCAGAATGACCGCTGTCGAGACGTCAGTACTACGAGAGAGCCACATTGGAAGAGATGACACACAGGGAGTTTGGTCCGTTCGCTGAAGCACGAGAAAACGCGACCGGCGGTGGTGGATGGAACCTTGTCATGACGGCTATACTCTGGGCATCGATGCACGGCGGTGAGCAATGTGGCCGCCCTCGCTCCACCTCCGAGTCGTCGACCGGTGGCAGCTTTGTATCGAAGGCACAATCCGCGATCGCGACTAGTCCTCCCAGAAGTGGGCCCACATAATTGTCCACAATCAAGCATCCGTGCCAGTTTCGGCGCTGTTCCTGAAGCTCCATGCACGAGAACAAGTCCCGCTCGACGGCCGACCACTCTCCTCGCTCGTGTGCACCCCGACGACAGCATCGATCCTAATCTCGCGGTCCCGGAGGAGTATTTGGCAGGTTTTTGACCGGCTCGCGGCGCACGTGCGGTCCAGGGGATCTACGTTTTCGTGTGTTCGTCGCCCGCTGTTCTCGGGTCATCCTCTCTCGGGTCGTCCTCGGGTAGCGGTCGTGCTGTGCATCTGCGATGAGCAACACAAGGCAAGAGAGAACGCCACAAGTGGCCCACGCTGCGGCGGGTGTACAGGTGACGGCGGCGATCTGGGTGACGCGGATATCCGGACATTCCAGCGTTTCACGAATCTACACGTACAACACTACAGGACATGTGTTATAATTTCGCTATGGACGACGCAGTAAAAAATGGAGCTCACCGGTTGCGGAAATCGTCAAGGAGAGGCCCGTTGGGGCGCAAACGGCAGCGCCGCTGCGGGACACGCACGTCAGGCACAGAGCCGAGTACGAGCTCTCCCTTCCCGAGCCGCCGTCTTCTGTCACGCACAGCGAGCGAGAGCGACAACGGCGGTATGAGATCCCACATCCGCATGCGCAAATTGGAGCGGACGCATTCCACCACCTAACATTCTCCGGACGCCGTAGTCTAGAGTGCATACGATGTGCCGCCGCGCTGGAGGTGTCCTATGTACTAAAAGGATGGGCGTGACGAGGGTCGTCATGAAACCGGAGTACGCGATCGCGCCGGAGCGCGGACACCCTGCCTTCGTGAACTGCGGAGCAAGGGCCTGCTCGCACTGGCTCTGCTGGCATGTGCGTCGTAGTGTGGCGAGAGCTCATCCTGCGCGATCTTGGAGTTCATGGGCAGTGCGGCACAGACTCGGTGCTCACGAGAAGCTCGCGGGAAGCGTGTCTGAGGGGCTCCGGAAAACGGTACTGGCGCACGAAGAGACCAACGAAGGCTGCTTCGTGGTAAATATGCGTGACGTTGAATGGATCCGCGGCAGCGTATGGGCAGAGCTGATAGCGGGCGAGGAGAGTGTTGCCTAGCGTGAATGTGTCTGTGGGTGGTGTCTGTCTCGAACCGTGCGCTCGAAGACGGCGCTGCGCGACTGAGTGGCGTGGAGGCAGAAGCAAGCAACGCCCTGGGACGGCGGCGCGTCTGTAAATACTGTGCACGCGCGCTCAGCTATTCAATGCATTGATGAATAGTGAGAACATAAACGTACAGTGCAATCCAAATACAATTACCCTCGACTGCGGTTCACGGCGTGCGCGGCCCAGCTCCCTTGCTTGAACGTCGCGCGGGCGTGTCTGGCTTAGCATGCGTCTAGCACCATGGGGCAGCACGGGCTGTCGCTAGTAGGAGACATGGCTCACGGGCGGCGCGGACATATTCTGAGGACGATACAGAATCGCCTACCGAGATGGGGGAATACTGTGAATGAGCATCAATCATGGCGAGAACGTAATAAACACTCACCTCTGCCCTCGCATATGCAGAAACGCCTTCGTCCCGCAGTGCTCTCGCGCAAATTCCTCCGGGTCCTCCGACAGTGTACGCAGAACGGACAACGCGTCATGCACGACATGCCCCTTTGCACGTACCCCTAAGCGAGCGATCTTATAGGTGATATCGGAATGTTGAAGACCATGGTAGCGCATGCTGCGCGAGCCTCAGGCGTTTTCCGATTCTTGAACGAGCGTGAGCCACGACAAAGCGGCAGAGAAGGAGCGTTGGCTTACAAACCAAACGGATGGATTCCGAATAATCTGCAGGCTGATGAGGGGGCGGCACCACCTTCGTCCTACGCCGTCTTACGTAGTACCACGTACTGCGACACGGAGCTCCGACGCATGATGCAGACGTAGTGCGCGTACTGCGAGGGGGCCGTCTTAGCGCCAAGTCGAGAGCCGTGGATTGCCAAATTCTGGGTGGCAGAGACACAGCAGTTCTCGGTCGAGGCTTGGGGAGGTGTAGGGAAGGCATCTTGTGTAGAGATTGAGAGCTAACACGGAGAGGGTCTGCGAGGGTTAAGGGGGCCGCGTGGATTGTCTCAGCAAGCGCGACCTGCAGTACTATCTTGTTCCACTCGCTGCAACGCCAACCAGCGCGAGCAGGGGGACCAGCGTTCTCTAGGAAGCAGGCGCGACGAATGGTTATAGAGTAGACAGCGAGGCAGAGTCGCAGCAGTCGTGGACCGGGATGGGATGCAAGGCAGGTACGAGCGCCTACACGCGTCCAGGGGATGACGTCAGATGATCCCAGGCATGTGGCGGGCGGCTTCACACCTCTCACTCACTCTCTCTCTCATCGAGTCTGACCTCGCTGCTCTCTGGCTTTCGCTGGCGGCGCAATCTCGAGGTCGTACGCTGCTCAAGGGCTCACACGTTCACGGTCTGATCTGAACGATGGCCATCGGCGGCAAACCTCCTTACTGGCCGTGATCGACTTGGTGCATGCCGCTCACCTTCAAGTTCCAAACCTGCGCGGCGCTCGCCCCTCGGTATGCTCGCAAGTCGTACGCTAGGCCTCAAATGCAGGAAGGAGGCATATGCAGACCTTTGTCGCTTGTGAACGTGGGTAGCCCTCAGCAAGCCAAATTGCCAGTACGTCGCCCGCTGCCGCCGCTTCTAGATATTCCGCCATCCCCCAGGCGGATCTCCCGACCGCTCTCAAGAGCATGGCTCGGTAGAAAGTACATTATTGAGCTTCTCTCAACCTCCACTGCGGAAATGAAGCGGTTTGCCTCGGTTGCGAGTGCATCAACCTCACCTACACGAAGCACTCTGCGCCCTTTCTCACTGGTGAGTTTTACACCCATATCTACTCGAGATGCCTGGCCCCGGTCGGCCCGCTATGTGCAGAAGTCTGCGCCGCATAGCACGCCAGTCCTTGGCTCCATGGGTGGGCACCAGTAATGCCGTTCACCGCTCACCGCTGAGGGTGCAGTAGTCACTACTCGTGACTGCACGCACATCGCGCCGTCGACGCAAGAGTCGTACATCGACGTTGGAGGCACAGGATTGGCGGGAATGCACGCATGGCACGCTCGCTCGTTGAGTCGTCCTTTCTGTTACCGCGAGATTGTGCTCACGGCCTCGACGCGCAATCAGCGCTCGCACCGCGACTTTACCGCCGTCCACGTTAATCTCGTGCTGTCGATGTTCGGCGTCGGTAGCAGCACCCTCGAAGGCGAACACACCACGCGCTCTCTAGCTCCGAGCTGGACCTTACCCCCGAGCATAACCGCACAGCATCTTCGCGCTATCGGAGGCCCGACGGACAAGTCTGTTCGGCGTAGACTTGCGAGCGACATGAAGACGCGACACCCTTACCGGATCAGCATCAACCCGCGCATCATAAAGCTCTGGCCGCTCCCTCTACATCGCGCTCGCAGACTCTACCTGGACACGACCGTCGAGCTCTTGGAGACTTGCGGGATCATGCTGCGACCTCGGTATCTTCGCACAACCAACACCAGGTAGTTCGTCATGCCGCGTTGTATATGAAGGTCTCGATGGGCGATGCGGGTACACGGTACGTCTGAGTTCCCCTGACTGGAACACCGGCGGTGCAGGTTGCTTGCACCGGCGCGGGCCAGCGCTTGCCGTCGCTCTTCCATGTCTGCGCCATCCTGGCCCTGTAACACAGAGTCACGCATCCTGTATCCTGCAAGTTCGATAAATACACATCTAATTGTCGCAGACATCGCATACATCGCACACGCTCACTTGTACATAACAAATCCAGAGACCATCACAGGAACCAAGAAGCCCCACCCGCGGACCGGCCGCTCGCCAGCGCAGGCACAAAGGAATGACTCGGGCACGGACAGGCGGGTGCAGCACGCCTCCTATTTGCTTCCGCACGTCGCCCCCGCTCGACAGCGGGAGGTCGCGCTGCTGCCCATCGGTGCCCTACCGTCTTTGCGCCGTTGCCGGTCTGCCAGGGGGCCGTTGGATGGGGTAGAGGGTGGAGAGGATGCAGAGAATGGGGAAAAGAAGAGGAAGAGGGAAAAAGGTACGGAGATCATATCAGAATCTGTATCTATGGGAAGAGGTGACCGGTGGTGTGCATATGGCAGTATTCATTCAATGACCTGCATCCTCAATTGAGTTTGGATATGAATGTATGGGAGATTGAGAACTTACTTGAAAAGCACCAACTGCCTCAGTGACTGTGTTATCTTCAAGGTTGCTCCTGTCAATCCCAGGGTATGGTTCAGATAAACCCGAGAGTTCATCAAGGTCAGAGTTGATGTGCATGTTGTTTTCAGTATTGCTGCACAGAACATCAATAATGAAGTACAAAATGTATCAGTGCAATATTTTCACTCACATAGATGAGGCAGCCTCTGCTGGCAAGTCTTCCATCCATAAATCCATCCATCCTTTCCCATTTGAAGTATGTTCAGTGCACTGGCCCTCAATGAAAAAAATGGATCTGACATACCAAGAAGACGAACATGCACTGTTAGGGTGTCCTTCAAGGCAGGCAGGTTCTTTGTGATCTCTGTGGTCCACCAATCCTTGTTGAACACTGCATCATTCTCCTTTACTCTGATGATGAACTCTGGAATGGAGGGCAAATGTTGTAACCACTGCTGCATTGCTTCACCGCTGATGATTTCAAGCAAATCACCCCGTCTGCGCCCATACTGGCTATCTGGAAAAAATTCAATGCTGCATTTCTTGAGATGTGATGACCGCATAGATCTTAACACCTGTGCAAGAGGGTCAGCTCCTGGTTTATAATCTTCAAACCAGACTGTAATCTTGAGTTCTTCCAGGGACACCATCTCGCCCAGAAATTGAAGGAAACTGTCTAGCAGATGGCTCATGTGAGAGAAGAGAGGCATACCACAAAGTCATGCTCACCTGACACTGGAGCAGCAGTTGTGAATTCAAAGTCAAATGTGGTGAGATTCGCAAGTGACCCAAATGCTCCTTGTGGGGGATAGCCCTGGATGTGTGCCCAATTGCCAATCTGACAAGTGGTTTACAGCTTACAAGATGCAATCAAGTCGGGATGTTCATGTTGTGAGCTCACCTTAGATTCAAGCTCCAATGTGTTAAGGTGCAGCCTGGGCTTAATCTTCAATGCTGTCTTCTTCAGGTTGTCCAATGATGATGCAGCTACTGTGTCATTGTTTGTAGCATATAAGCGACACCGTAGTAGCCAGGGCATCACCCAGATGATATGGAAAAAGTCTATGGCTGAAGCAGTCGACCAGACTGCACAATCCAATTGAACCAGATTCTCAAATTTGGTCAGCAATGGGACCAGGCAATTCTGCACATATCTCGGGGGAAAACCCTCCAGAGATCCTATGCTCATTTCAAGCCTCTGACACTTCTTTAGTGAGGGAAGGCTCAACACCTCAGTCAAGGGTACATAGTCATCACCAAGGGATATGCGTATCACTCTCACATGCTCAGCAAGCTCAGGTCTGGCTGTGATTGTGTCCACAATTGAGCCAGCTGCTTCACTGTCCTGAACCCTTAGCTCATGGTAGAGGTTATACCGGCTCCGAGGAAGCCAGTCAGAGCATGTCAACGCACAGGCTCTCAGAGTCTTACGGCGGTCTCTCCAATAGAAATTGGAACACTCATCGATGACACATTCGCAGACCTCGATCGGGAGGTGCGAGTTCTCCATGGTCCGGCGTGAGGGCGGGCAAGACGGTGAGCGTGAGCAGAGGCAGCAGCGAGGAAGCGAGAGGAGGGAGTCGGACACGAGCACCGTCAGACCAAGCCCTGTACTTGTAGCACCGGGTGAGCCGCCACAGCGCACCGCATCGTGGCATCTATGGAACCTTATATGACAGCCTCACCCACTGCATACGGAGAGGACAGCGGCACGTTCCACGACGACGGCACGGCCTGCTGTGAGGCGTGTGCGCTGCTCGACACAGCGTGGGCAACTGATCGACCGGCGACGGCCTCAACGCAGGGGATAACGTGCGGCGCGACGGCGTGGGGGAGGCATGCACGCTGTCGGCGCGAGAAGTCGAAGCGCAGCGATATGTGGTTCTCGGGAGCGCGCGTCGACCGCAACGCGAGCGTCCTAAGGTGCGAGACGCTGACAGCGCAAGGGCATCGCGGTATGTTGGGCAGCAGTGCTTCTACAAGGGGCGCAGGGTTCCACCGGACGGTTGACGGGCGGGGGACCGGGTGTGGTCGTTGGACGGACGGGACGACACACGGGAGGAACTGCATTGATAACGCCGATAAGGCGGACGGCAGATCGAAGCGGTATGTACAAGGCGCCGGTCTACGGCAGAGGCAGGAGAGAACACGACGAGGAGTGAGATGTGCGCACCTGAGAGCGATGGCAGAGCGGTGTAGACGGGAGTCGGGGCGAGGACGATCGTGGAACAGCGTCTTGCGTCGCGAGCATGTCGGACAGCGAGCGAGACTGCATCCCATGCCGAGGTCTCTTTGTATGATGACGAGATGGACCAGGGGTGTCAGAGACAGTCATCTGGTTGGAAAGAAAGCGGGGATGAGCAGATGCGGTGATAGCAGCGACCGTTGCCCAAGGGGGGCGGGCACTGTGAGCGAGGGACGGCTGAGGACTCCTAACAGATGCGCACGACCTCATAGTCGACGGCTGGTGCGTGCTGGAGTGTGCGAGAACAGACTAGTAATGAATATTCGCGACGTGTAGCAAGCTGTAGCCATACCACGCACCCGAGCTGGGACGGGAAGACGGACGGCGACGGATACGGCGGCGGCAGAGCGATATCGACATGCGATCGGCTCCTCGTCCGGGAGGCTGCGCAACAGCAGAGAGGCATGGGCGTACGCACCGCTTTTTCAGTACCCAAACATTGCATGCGCGCGAGGGCCTTCTCCTTCCACGGGGCGAGCTGTCTGCCTGCGATTCCATTGAGGGCGGTTTAGACGTCGAGCTGCTACGCGATCGGGGTACCCAGAGAGTCTGAGAGAGCGCAGTAGATAAGAGATCGAGCAATGGATGGCAGGAGACATATGAGCCCAGGACAGCAGGACAGCCTGAGCCCGGTGAAAAGTCCCCCTGGCGAGGGCTGGCGGGTACTGGCGGGTACTGTCACTGCCAGGTGTAACCGGCGCCTTCTGCGCATATCTGGACGGGCGCCAATATATTGACGTCTCGCAACCTTCTCTCGTCGTGCACCACATGTTTCGTCTGTCCGACCGCGCTCGAACAAACCAGAACGCGTGTTTCGCATGTTTCGCTGCCCGGCTTGGGTCGTGCTTTGTTTCAAAACAGCTCTGTTCCGCTTCATGTAAGCGCCCGTCTGGGTTGCGTTCGGGGCATTTGGCAGGACATTCTGGCACGTCGCGTTTGGCCAGTTTCGCTGCGACGCTCGTATCAGAGGGCGTATGTGATATGCAAAAGTGTGATATTGAAAATTCCCCAGTCTTAAGGCGACGCGTCAGTGATTGACTCCAAGTATCTCTCTTCTCTACCACCACCATCTCCCCTCGTCTCCCACCTCACCTCGCCGTCTCATCTCAGTTTCCCACGTTGCGGCCACTCTCGCTCTGAAGGTAAGTCATAGGACACTGTGTATACCATGTCACTCTGATGCTGACTCCATTTGGGTGCTAGGTTTCGTACCCCAGATTACCCACCACGTCTCTATAAAGGTGCATATATGCTACTCGTATCTTACATTTGATGTCACCCCAGCAGATCGGAAACTCGGGCGTCGCTCAGCATCAAGAAGGCCCCGAATGCGGGGGGCGCATGGGCATGAGTACACGAGGGCGCACGGATTCATGAGGGCGCGCGGGGGAGGGGCACACGGCGAGGGGACGGCCGGGGTGGCAAGCGTGGACGCGCGCGCGCATGGGGGCCGAGGATGTGTCCTACCGTAGCGTAAATGCTGTCAGTATCTGGATCCGTGCCAGAATACAACAGGTTTTCCCAGATGTCAGCAGATGTTACCGGTTGCGAGCAAATGGCCCCGTATACAGGGCGAAAGGAGGGGCAGAAGACGAGCATCCGGTAGGTTCTGGTTCTACCTGGGGAGCCCCGGTGTTTGTCAAGACACGACAGTCGTAACCGGAACACGCCAGACTGCGGACAGAAAGTGGGCGAATTTTCCTGGCATAGTGCCCCTCTACCGACGCGCGCCGGCAATTCCTGGCTTGCCAGTATTTGGCGGTACTCGCCAGCCCTCGCCAGGGGGACTTTTCACCGGGGCCTGAGAGCGGAGAGACGAGAGAGGAGGCAAGAACGAGCGCCTACACGCATCCTACTCGCGTTCTGGGCGCTGACGTCAGAGCACGCGCTCGACTCACGCCTCGCACTCGGACGTTGCACATCGAGTCTACCATCCTCCTCGTCGCCCTCTCGTCTTCATATCTCTGCTGGCGAGAACAAGTGCTCGTATGCTACTCACCAATGCTCAAAGTCTGGTCTAGGCGATGGACGGCCGTAACAGCAACCTCACAGCAAGACAAGCTTGCTGGCTACCGCCAACCCTCCAACTCGGAATATGCACTGAGCGTAACTGCCTCCCGAGTCCTATTGAGCTCAGAGCGAGTGAGTGCAGTCAGACGGGTCAGAGCATCAATGCTGAACTCACCACCTCTCGTACCCTACAGCCATGCCGTCATCACGTTGCTCGCTGCCCGACTCGTCGGCGTGCTCGCGGCCCGTATCCAGTGCAAACCGCCCACCGCAATTTCTCTGGACCAAACGACTCCCAAGAGGTCGGCAACACGGGCTCAGATCTCTCAACCACGACGACCCCAACACAGGACCTATTCTGGCCACGGTGTCGCTGACCACGAGTGCGGGACGAACGAGACACCCCCATCATCGCCTCCGGCGAGTTCAGGCCAACCCTGCGCTAGAAATCCCTCTCCCCTGCGCGATCCGTTATGCGCAGGTACGCGTCTGCTTTTCGTTCTAGAACTTGGCGCCAGTCACAGTGAGAGTCCCGCAACTTCACGCACATGCGGCAGGAGGAGCTGGATCGGGCATTGGCACGCAGCCTCGGTGCGTCGTTTTTGACTACCGCTCGGTATCAATATGCTCACACCTTCGTATCGCAGCAGTGTACCATCGCCAGAGTGCGCAGTGTCCGATGTTCTGGCACGGCGCCCGCGACCGTTGACGCCCCGCGGCCTTTCCGGCACGCGAATGTTCGGGTTATGCTCTCTACGTCGTGCCCCGAGCTTCAACGGCGCGCAACAGCGGCGCATCTTGAAGTATCAAGGGCAAGTGTGTTCGGCAAGTCAGCGCGAGTAACATTCGTCTCTTTCACCCGATCACCGTCAAGCGGCGCGTCATGCGGCTGTGGGTGTTCCCTTGGACCTCCAGGTTGCGCTCGCGAACTTCATCCGCGCGCGGTCAGCGACCCTTAGAGACCTGGCGGACCACGACGCGAAGGAATATCAGCGGTGACCTCCTCCCGCACCGCGGCTGCTTACACGACACCAAGGCTTTTTAGGTATCTCAGCCGTCACGCGCGCATAGAATTCTGGCGCCCTCCAAGCCAGGTCCTGGAAGTCGACCGGTGTAATTTGCGCTGACAACGTCGCGACATCCTGACGTTCTCGTTCACAACTCGCCGTGAACGTCGACCTCATCACCATCCCGCCACATCCCTACAGCGTCGGCCGCTCGACGGGCCCCATCGCGGTCGAAACAAATCCCGAAGAGGTAGTTTGGTGGATGGGGACTCGACGACCAGTTCGTCACCCTCGCCCAGATCCTCAACACATCCCGGTTTTCGTTAAGTGCTCATCGCTCGGATTTGCTAGTGCCCTGTCGCTCCTCAAAACCGACAACGCGCGCACGTCCGAGCTACGTCGATACTCGGACCAAGATAGGCTGCTACAAGCAGAATTGGTACCGCCCTTCGAATTCCCAGCATCTCGTCGGCCATCGACACTTTTCTCACCGTCTTTCCAGCGCAGATCGTGCGATCGTACGATACATACTTCCTATACCGCTTCGCGCGACGTGGAGTTTCGACAACTAGACGACCAGTCGACATGCTACGCCGCTGCCGATCGCTGTGAGTACGGAACGCCGACTGTTGACCACCGCGGAGACATCTCGCGGACACCCGGCTCGTTGCGCGACCAGCTACGCACCGCCAACATCCTTGGGACGTCGTTATCCGCGCACAGAAGACCTAGCACCCATCGGACCCGGACACAGAACGTCCTCCACGCTATGACCGCGCGGACATACGACGTCCAGTCCCCGCATGCGCTGGTATCAGCCCCGCGGTCTGCGCTGGAAGTTTGTGGATGCCTACCCGCTCACAGGGGCATTCATATAGCCACGATTCGACCACGGGGAGCATGATCGTGGCGATGCGAGGTGGCTCGCGCCGTAACGTCGGCCTGAATTGGGCTTTGGAGGCAAGACGTGGACGTTGGGTAGGCCAGAAGTGATATCGTTTGATATACTGGGCCGGCGCCGCCAGGGAACACATAACATAGGATAGAAGTTGCATGTACATACGTTGAGACTCGTAATTCACCATAGTATACACATACGCAATCTATCGCCAAGAGACAATAAGGAATTTTAGTGCCTAGTACCCGGATGACAATATTGTGAGCGAGCCGTCTGCAGTCTACTAGTACGTGTAATAAACGCGGGTACGTGTCTCGAGGAGAACGTTATAATATATGCTACGAGGCCGCGAGACGCCGCATAAGTAGACATACACGAAATGAAGAAGGGCCGTCTAGCGAGTACTTATGAGAAACAAAGACGCCGCGCACGAAATTACGCGTCGTGCCACCGAGACTCCATCTCGCCCGCGATCAGAATCTCCGTACGCGTCGTCTTCATATGACCTAGCGCCGACTCGGAGGAGTCGTTCCAGGGGTGTGCGCGCCGCCCACTCTGCGTCTTCCACCGTGTCGCGATCCGGTCGCTAACGGCTTCCACGGTGCTGTACTTCTGCGGCGACATACGTGCCTGTAGGTCTCGCTGAGAATCGACAACGCGCGGCCGCGCCCGATGCCTATTGATTGGCCGACGGAGGCATGCGCGACGACGCGCGCCGCGAGTCCAGCAGCCACGCCTGGCGGGGATGTGTCTCCCGGCCTGGTTTGGTCGCGAGCGGGTAACTCGCGGTCTTGCGATACGTCGAGTTTTAAACCGCAGCGTCACGCGAGCGCTCCTTGACATCTTCGACTTCCGCCGCGTGCTTGTCCCACGGCGAGAGTATTGGGCCGTGCGCAGGTAAGGCGTCAGCCTCGCCGGCTGCGTCTTCGCGCCCAGAGAGGCTCGGGCGCACGCCCGTAGGCTCAGAGGTACTGGCACATGCGTGTTGCAGGTACGTGTCGCGATGTACAAGAGCGCCGCCGCGAAGGTGTGATAGAGGAGTGATACGGACGCGCGGCCGCGACTGCCGTGATTGCGGTACATAGAGCCTGCTGTGTGTGTCTGAGTGTACCGCCGTGCGCCGGGTTGAAGGGAAGAGCGCGCACGTACCGCACGATCATGAGGCGCCGCATTATGAGGACGTTCGACCGCGTCCTACGGCCTGCGGTAGTCCTGCCTTCACGGGTGCGCGGATCCGAGGACTTTCGTCCGCGTGGCCATAGCACGCGGGTGTGTTCGCTGCAAAAGGCATTTATAGAGACGGCCAGAGCGAATGAACATTGATCTGGGAGAGAACGTAGGAAGTGCTCACCTTCAGACTCGCGCGGGCCCTCTGGCAGTGTAGGCAGGACAGGCAGCCCGTCGCACACGATAACACCCTTTTACTCGACGGCATGTCCATGTCTAATTGATTTGATGTTGTGGGAGACATTGAGAGGTCGAGGCCTGGAAGCGTGTGCACCGTAAGGCCCTGAAGGAGCCGGAGGCACACGATCGAGGCAAAGAGGAAGCCTCAACTTACCAGCTAGTTGTCCGGACTCTGCGCAGTTGACATGGGAGGAGGCGAGGGAAACGCGACGTTCAGGTTCGCCCTGTGCCGTCTCATCTCGTAGTGCCGCGTATTGCGACACGAGGCTTTCAAGTAGCAATGAGTTGCGCAGTGCGCGTACCGCGCGGGGACCGTCTAGTCGCGAGGTCGAGAGTCGCGGATTGCTCAATCGAGGGTAGTTCACTCCTGCGGAGACATAGTAGGTCCTCCCCGAGGCTTCGGGAGGTGCATGGGAGGAGAGTCTTGTGTAGGGATTGACAGAGAACGCGGGGAGGACCTATGAGGGAGCTCCTTGCATTTTGTCACCAGGCACGACCTCTGGCTTCTTGCACCATTCGTTGAAATGAGAGAGAAAGGGGAGCTATAGATGTCTCTGAGAGGTAAGCTGGACGAGTGCGGAGAGCTGCAAGGCACAGTCGGCGTCGCGGTAGTCGCGGATGGGATGCAAGGCAAGCACCAGCGCCTACTCGCGTCGTGGGCGATGACCGATGACGTCCCCAGGGATGCGCGCGACTTCACATCTCTCTCTCACTCTCTCACTGGGTTTAAGAGCCGTGCAGTTGAGGCGAGAGGGCGTCGGAATAGAGTAAGCGTTAGCATCTGCTCAACAAGTCGGAGTGTGAATCCAATTTCGGGATTCAAATCGCCTGTAATGCGCGTGATGTCACCATGCGATCACATGCAGTACGCGTCCGGAGTCGCGTCTCCCCTTCATGTACGAGCACGCTGGGACAGCTCCGCCTACATGCGACTGCACCATCAATTACAACCCCGCTATCTATGGTCTGTTCGTGTTTGTGAATCCCTGTGCCTGCTTTAGCTATGCTCGGCTGAGAGGAGGACAGAAGGTCCCACCACAACACACTCACTCCGGCATGGGTAATAAGCTGGTGCTCTGTGCAGTCGACCCGCCCCATGCTTTCCCTCCCCCCACCATGGCGACGCGCGGCCGGTCTGATTCTGCCTCCCCTCCCCCTCGCCCAAATGATCCTCGCAAGACACACTTGTGCAAGTGCGAGCACACTTGCAAGCGGCTGCATAAGGCACTGTGTGCCCGGAAGGTGGTGGGCGCTACGACTATGTCGGGTGATTAGCTCCGATCACTAGCGAAGGTATGGGTTTATTAGTGGGTAGTGAAAGTGGTGGTGAACAAGGGCTTTCGGAGTTTCACTACCTATCATAGTAATAATGACCGTGATCCATTCAAGACTTAGCGCTCGAAAGAAATCCGGTTGGGGCCAAATATGAGCAAACAATGGGGGACCGTTCCGAGGCTCCGTGGATGCTTGACAACCGTCGGTCTCTCTTTGGTCTCTCTTCTCCTCGACGTCCTCGAGCTCCTCAATGTCGCCCTCTCGATCCCGCCTCCTCTCGCGCGCTCTCCCTGGTCACAACATGTCTTCTCTGGGCTTTACCTCACTATCCTAATGTCTCCCTTGTGGTACTACGACTTGTCCGATGTGAGGAGCTAGTCCTGTTGTCTAGTCGCTCCGGAGCTCGCTCTCTCCTCGTCTATGTCGACACCCCAACGCTATCAGGCCGCCCTGTCAGGAACCATCCTTCTTACCTACCAGCACATATGTGGTTTTATTCAAGTACGTCAATGTCCGCGCTGCCGCTGCTCTGTAGCCTAGGTAACCTCACTTGTGCGAAGTTGAGTTTATCGCTGCCCTTGTCTTGTCACCATCTCGCGATCGCTCTTCGCCTTGTGCTCCTTCACATATGCTCTGCCCGCCAGCCATGAACTTGTCTCTCCGGGCTCCCTCCGCTGCGTCCATATCTTGCCTGCGTCTTCTTTGTGTCGGGCACACGCCATCACGTCTTGTCGTTCGGCTCCACGTACGCCCTGGTTGCGCCTATGCTTTCTGCGTCTTGCTCGCGTCTCTACATCTCCTGCGCTGCGTCTCCGCCTGATGGCTTGTCCGCCCCCCTCCACGCTCATGCATGCCCTGCGCCCACATCCGACATCTGCCTCGCAACGTCTCGACCTCTCTCCGCGCACGCCATGCGCATTGTAGGCGCCAGGCCCGCAAACATTTACGTCAACATCGTAGCCCGCGTACGCTCACGCATATCCCGCGTCCCGCACCCGCACGCTCGTGTCTGGCTCGCGCTCGTCTTACCTCTCGCCCGCGCTCATCTCACATACTGTCTGTGCCTCGCCCGTGCCCCGTCTGTGTTCGTGCCACACGTGTATTGCCCGCTCTCCACTGTCCCGCACCGTGGTTTCGCTCGCGCCATGTCCCCCGCATGTCTCTATCTTACCTATGTCTGCGGCACGTTGTACCTCATTAGTGTACGATAGCTAGTATAGTTCAATGAGATGCCATTCATTTAAAGCGAATGTGTGCTCTCTGTGTTATAGCAAAAAGCACTATATAACAGAGAGTGAATCACCGTCTATTGGTATTCACCTAGAAAACGGTGTGCAATCACCGGTGCCGGCGCTTGGACGAGGGTGTTGAACCGTAACATTTAATAGCTCAAAAGTCCGACTTTTTACACCCGGGAGAGTAGTGATTTTGCGCCGGCGCCAAAATGGCTAAAAGGGGGCAAACACCCACTTTACATAGAGATTTACTCTACTTTGTGCATAGTGAATAAACTGGTGATTTTCACAACATGTCAGTCGTACAGAGAGGGCGGTCAATGGTGCACCCGCCACGAAAAGAGCGGGCACAAAACCACCGCCGATCTCGCGCAAGCATTCAACCAGCGCGGACGAGGTATCCGACGACCCGTACTGCCATCTGCACGAGATCAAGGTGCACGCGGCGGGCGAGCGACTCCAAACACTTCGACAAGCCGAGGACGTGGTACTATACCGCCTCCGCGAATACATGTCGCACAGCCGCCACGATCAAAAAGATCGCGGACACCATCTCCCATCCCAGAAGAACCAGTCAGTCGTCCTCGGATGTCTCTGTCCCCGGCCCCGATGCTCGCCGACTCGCAGGCGGCGCCGGTACGTCTTCATGCTGCTACATAGCATATAGTACTCACGTCTGCTTAAGGACATGTCCCGGCGCACCCCGGACGACTTGGACGACATGTATGCTGA